AGAAAAGCATACAGTGACGTTTAATTTATTTATCAATTAATTTGCTTTTCTTTACTGGTGTACTGTTCAACTGCTGGCCTATCCATTTTATTGATTCAGCCAATATTGAATTATAAAATATAATAAGAAAACAATGTTTTCAATAAGAACCATTTGATATCTTAATAATGTTTTAATTAAGGCCAGCAATGAATTAAAAGGTCAATCAGGCTGTCAATGAACATATAATGCCAGCAGTGGCGGCTGGTGAAAAATATTGTAGGGGGGGCTGAATAGGAGGGGGGTCTGGGGGTCCCCCCCCAGAAAATTTTGAATTTAGTAGATGTGATTTCCTGCATTCTGGTGCATTTTAGGCCTTAGGCCATGCCCTTACCTATACCAATAAAATAACTTAACACAGTCAATACCAATGGTCAAATAATACAATAATAATAATAACAGTTTGACAGTTAATGATAATGAACAAGTTGCATGTTTATTATGCTCTGTGTGCTGACAGAAAAAAGTGCAAACGCATAATATTGATAAATTATAATATAGGTAATACAAAAAATAATAGGTAATACAACAATCTAGTTTAATCAATCCCCAGCTGTAGACTACATATTTATTTTTGACAAATTGGATAATGGATAACAATGTGTTGATACTAGAGAAAGAGAGGGTGGGACAACATTCTCGAGGGTAACACCCAAGTATGAGAAGAAAGTTGATTTTAACTAGTATGAAACACAGTAATCTAACTCAGAACTTAAAAACATAAAAAAACAAAGCAAACACGTGTATTAATATTCCTATAATAACTATTTTAATATCAAATGTGTGTGAAACAGTGTTTATGTGTGTGTGAGTGAGTGACAGAGACAGACAGGTCAATTCCCACGACTAACTTTACATTATTTCCACTCGACGTCACTGGCGCTGCCATTCTGCTCTCATCTGAGGTAAAAAAATGTCCCGTGGTGCGCGTGCACGGTGCACTCCCCTAATCTGATACTGTGGGCGATATTTTCAGCGCCCCCAAACCATAAAATTTGACGACGCTGATTGGCGAAATATAAACTTTTTTGCATAGCAACCGGGGAACCATTGGCTTAAATTCCAGCACTGTGGGGCTGAGCGAACTGGCGCCCTGAGAAGACAGCCTATTGGCTATACTACTACACCAACATGATAAAAGTAACGAAAGTGAATGCAAATATCATTCTGGTGAGTTCAAAACACTTTTCAAAGTAAAACAATTATTAGCATATAATTAACACAGATTATTTTTCAAAATGATAAATTATAATATATATTAAAAAAACAGACAGACAGGTCGGAGGGAGGGCGGCGCCCCAGCGCCCTCTATGGGCGAGCCGCCCCTGAATGCCAGAATGGCAAAATCCATCTACAAAATTAATGTATCTCTTTAACTCTTACAGAGATCCCAGAGGGTTTCGCTTTTTCGTCGGTCGGGACTGGGATCGGAATTGGGATCGGGATCATGATCGGGATCGGGATTCTGATCGGGATTGCGATTATGGCTATGGGGGTCAAGCTGGGTTGTTTAAAAGCCTGACCCTGCAGGAACAGTAGGTAACATGAGTTTAAACGCATGAAAGTTTATTTTAAAGGGGTCATATAATGCCATTTTCATAAGTTAATTTGATTTGTCAGGGTCGAAATGAAAAGTTTGTAATATACTTACATTTATTTAAAGTCATGCTTTAGTGCATGTGTCTTTAAATGATAATGACCCCGCCCCTCTGTTCTGTGGGGCGTGGAGTGTTGCCTTGACAACAGTTGAGGGTACACATGCAACTGCTTTATCTACTTTATTGTTGTATACAATATTGTATTGCCTCTTCAGGGCACATAAAACAAAACAAAAACTGTTATTGGTCACTTTACATGTCAGCCAGGTGGTTCATCTTGTTTAAGTGGGTTCTTGTCTGCCTGTGATAATAAAATACAATACTGTGTTTTTCTTCAACCCCGGCGAAAAATCTGTTGGACAAACTGTAAGCTAGATATGGATTCATTCAACATTACATTATTAACCCAATCTCAAAAACAGCATTAATACAAATAGAAAGACAGAGTAATATTGTCTTGATCTCTAATATATGTCTATTTTTTCAGCCTTCATTCAGATATTAACCATAATATAATTTTCTAATGCTTGTGGTTATGTTACACTATAGAGAGTCATTCCTAACAAACAATGGGGTCAATTTAATCTAATAAATTCAAGTAAATTAAGTTTACTAAAACTTTGTAATTGTTAAAACAGGAACCTTGCTATGGCTGTGCTGATAACACTCAGTATTCAATGTTTGTTACTAAGGCTTTATTAGTAAATGTATTAAAAACACCATTAATCCACTAATGTTATATGCAGATAAAGTATCTTTTTCTCATTTTAACTTCTTTTCTCTCACAGATACACATGATCCTGTGCAACAGGAGACAGGTGATCCTGCTGATGAATGGAATGCACCAGAAATACACATAGCAGTGTTTGAAGTCAACCCATTTGTGCTTTTGAGATGGAAAACTTATAAATGAAGACTGTTGTTTGATGTGACATAAACGGAAACATGCTTTTGTTCATTGTAAAGTTGAAATGGTAAGACTGGAAAAACTGGAAGAGAGGGCAAATTAACATTTGAATTTCTCTCTTGTGCACCATTCGAGACACAACTTGTGTTGTGGTGAGTGGTGAAGGAAGAGAGGTTTCTGTAAAGGAAACCAAGATTTGCCTTGACCTTAGATTGCAGCTTTGATATGTGGATGGAAGAAGAAAGTGATGCCTAAGTATATATATAAAGACCCCTTGCAAGTGTTGATTTTAAGGGCTGGAGGAGGCGTAGTATCCTTAGCCCGTGTGTGTCCACCAAAGCGTTTTTAGCCAGCTGAAAACGCTAGACGCTCTGCTGAAGACGCCGTGCATTGGGCGCTTGAGAGTGTTTTGGCAGCGTAGCTTTTTTCCGTTGAGACGTTTCGTTGCTTGCTATGATACAGAATATCCGCAGCAGTTTGAATGTTGACAGTTGGTCGGTGTGGTATTAGTCCCGCCCCTCCTCCACTGTGATTGGACGGCTGGGTAAAAAGTGACACTCATGGCGTTTAAAAACCGCGGCGCTCCCATTGAAAACAATTGAAAACAAACGCCAGGGGCGTGGAAAAACGCTTTGGTGGACACACGGCCTTACTGTAAAACTACATGATTTTTGTTTTGAAGGTATTAAGAGTGAGTTTGAGTTGTGTAAAGGATTGCTGTAGTTGGAAAAAGCTATCTTGAACAGCATCAGGGGAGGAACCCGTGGCATAAAGGATTGTATCATCAACATATAAGTGAATGAGTGAATGTTGTTAATATAAATTGAGAAAAGTGTAGGGCCAAGGACAGAGCCTTGGGGTACACCCCTGGTGACCGGAATGGGAAAAAAGGTTTTCAAATCTTACACGTTGAACCCAGTGAGAAAGATAATTTGAAAACAAAATCAGTGAAATCAATGCTGCTAAGTCTGTGGATGAGTGTGTTGTGGTCCACGGAGTCAAAAGCTTTTGCAAGGTCAATAAATATAGCAGTGGAGTGTCGTTTGATATCTAACGTGGATGTAATGTCATTGAGCACTTTAGTGGTAGCTGTAACACAACCATAGCCTGATTGGAAGTCATCTGTGCCCCAAAGATGACCGTTCACATTAAGATGATTGACTAGTTGTTTATTGACAATTTTTTCCATACTTTTAGACACACAAGGCAAGATGGAGATTGGCCTGTAATTGTTTAGGTCAGCCTGGTCAGCCAAACAACAACCATGCATCATTCATGGTGAGAAACAGGCTGATTTTATACAAAGTCACTTGGGCCACTTAAAAAAGCTTGAGCATCAAAATGTTTCAGTAGTTAAGTAATTATCATTAAGAAAATAATTGCAGGAAAAGTGATGATTTTGCTTTGGAATCTTATGAAAACTTTAACCTGATTTTTCTAAAAATTGACTTTGCTGACTTTATTTTTGAAAATTTGCTCACTGTGACTAATTTTGCTATCACAGTTCACATTTTTTGACTCACATTTTTTAACGGCACCCATTGACTTTCATTAATTGAAGGACCATTGACTTCCATTAATCAGCAAGGACCATGTTATAAGGTAAAAATCTTCTTCAGCCTACTGTTCTACTGAAGAAAAAGGTAACCTACGTCTTAGATGGAATGAAGATGAAAATATAAACAGAAAATGGTTATTTTTGGGTGAGTTATCCCTTTAAAATGTGTTAATGAGTGATATCTTCTACTTTTTTTTGTGTTATTCTTTTTTGATTTTATTGATTTTGATTTTCAGAACTGCTTCAATTCAACTTAAATGAAGCTCTTTATATACAACAGTACGTTCCAAATTTTAAATCTTTTAATGTCTAATAAATACATGAGAATGAATGACATGGATTTGTAGTATTATTAACGGTCCCTCAAAAAAAAAAAGGGATTGAATGGCCAGGATCCCAATATCCTTTGAAACGTACTGGTACATTGAAGGCTAGCTTGGGCATGAATGTGCAAAACTGTTGAGTGATGGAAGTCTGTATTTTGAAGAGATAGCACTGATATGATTTTATGATTAAAACTAAAATTAATGACGGGGAAAACATTTAATGCCAGAGGTTTGGAAAGAGGAGTAATTTAATATTTCATGTAATAAAGTCAGAAAAGAGACACTTGAAAATATCAATGCCCACGATACTATATTGTTGAGTGCTTTCACTTTAATGGTATTTGAGGAAATAATGGATGAACTGGGATTTCATACCATCATGCTGAAATCGTTCTTCTGCAATCCTGACGAATAATGTAGGGAAACCACCCGTGTTCCCTGGTCTTTTGAGGAATTATCATTAAGAAAGGAGAAGCAATAACTCAAGTTTTTTTTCTCTCTCTCTCTCGCACTATCTATTTACACTACGTGCTGCACACTCCAGACCAGTGGGTGGCGGAAATGCGCATTTAATGTTATTTTCCCGAACCTCCAAAACCAACTGAAGAAGACGAAGACAGACGCTCTGAACCGCTTTTCAAAACAAAATATTTGCAGGCTTTATGAATAATTACGGACAAAATTTACAAGTGAAGACATGCATTCAGTCTATCAGGAGGAACAGAAATCTGTAAAAATTGAGTTTATTGAAGATTACTGTGAGAACAGGAGTGATCCAGGACCCAAAGTGAAGCATGAAGAAGATGCTTGTGAACAGGGAGGTACGTGTTTATTCTTGATTCTTCATTAATTATGCTGTAAAATATGAAGGTTATACAATTTAAAGCAGATTATCAGTTAGTATACCGGTGTTCTAATCATAGGTAAACGTAAATGTACTTTCATATGATTGATTTAAGCCACAGACAGTGAAAATATGTTCAGTGGAAAAATGCCTATCAAGTAACCTGATCTAAAAAAATATAAATTTTTCTTTTCGCTGTTAAAACGAATAACTTGCAGTGTTAACTTATGAAATATCAGAAACATCAAAAAGGAAATTTGTTTGATAAAATGATGTTTGACTGGACATCTCCTCAGAATATCAACATGTTTATTGAAATCTCTGTGAGGATGACTGGCAAAAGCTGTTTTATTGTATTTTGGATTTAGTTTTTTGGTGTGAATGGGCCTTTACTAACAAATTATATTTTTTTAATAATTATATTTTTTAGACACTCCTTACTGATACATATTCATCATTACTGATTCATATGTGACACCATAATTACATTTATGGTAACAAGATTTATTTAATTTGGACTAATTTGCTACTATGAATCAGGGTAGTTGGACGAGATTAAATTACATATAATTGAATTGTTTTAAAAATGAATCAAAGTACAACATTTGTATTTAATTTTTTTTTTATGTGTGACTTTTTCTTTAATTTTAGACCTGATGGAAGAAAATGAGGAGAGAGAAGAACTGAATCAAGTGGAGGAGAAATGTGTCAAAACTGAAGAAACATCTTTGAGTTGCGGTAAATGTGTACGGAGAAAAGCCATCAAAAATGTCACTTTCCCTCAGTGTGGAAAAAGATTTTCATACAAACAAAGTCTGAAACGTCACACGAGAATTAATGGTGGAGAGAAGCCGCACACATGTGATCAGTGTGGGAGAACTTTTGCCACAGCTACCGCATTGAAACGACACCAGATCATTCACACTGGAGAAAAACCTTACAAGTGTTCACACTGTGACAAGAGATTCAGCCAGTCAGGACATAGGAAAAGACATGAGATGAACCATGCTGGAAAGAAGCCGCACACATGTGATCAGTGCGGGAAGAACTTCACACAAGCAAATCTGAGCTCTCACTCTGGAGAAAGAACATTTAACTGTGATCAATGTGGTAGAAAATGTATTCGGGCAGAACAGCTGAAGAGCCACCCAAACATTCATTCAAAGGAGAAGCCTCACGTGTGTTCTTTGTGTGGAAAGAGCTTTTCACAACTGGGTTATTTCAAAATACACCAGGAAATACACAGCGGTGTGAAGAATCACATGTGCTTTGACTGTGGAAAGACTTTTATTACACCTGCTGAACTGAAACTGCACCAAAGAAGTCACACTGGAGAAAAACCTTACAAGTGTTCACACTGCGACAAGAGATTCAGTCAGTCATCAGCATTGAAACAACATGAGCGGATCCACACTGGAGAGAAACCTTACAAGTGTTCACACTGCGACAAGAGATTCTCTTGGTCAGGAAATCTGAAAAAACACGAGAGGGTCCACACTGAAGATAAACCACATGAATGTGATCAGTGTGGGAAGAGTTATAAAGAAAAAAGGACCCTGAAGTATCACATGAGAATCCACACCGGAGAGAAGCCGTACACATGTGATCAGTGCGGGAAGAGTTTCACACAAAAATCAAGTCTTACATTTCACATGAGAATCCACACCGGAGAGAAGCCGCACACATGCGATCAGTGCGGGAAGAGTTTCAAACACGCATTCACACTTAAATTACATCTGCGTTCTCACTCTGGAGAAAAAACATTTAACTGCGATCAATGCGGAAAATCATGTTTTTCATCATCATCCCTGAAGAGCCACTTGAAAGTCCACACGAAGGAGAAACCTTACGTGTGTTCCTTGTGTGGAAAGAGTTTTAGTCAGATGGGTACTTTAAAAGTACACCAGAAAAATCACAGCGGCGTGAAGAATTACATGTGCTTCGATTGTGGGAAGACTTTTGTTACGGATGCCATATTGAAACAACACCAGAGAACTCACACTGGAGAAAAACCTTACAAGTGTTCACACTGCGACAAGACATTCAGCCAGTCAGGAAATCTGAAAAGACATGAGATGATCCACACTGGAGAGAAGCCGTGCACATGTGATAAGTGCGGGAAGAGTTTTGGTAATTCACGTTCTCTAGTGCGTCATACTAAAAACAAATGTTGTATACTGTTGGTGAACATTGAGACACTACCTACGCTGCAGTGAGCGACGAGTTTAGATGAGAATGAAAATGTGATGCTAACTGCTTAAATCAGGGTTCCCCAAACTCGGTCCTGGAAGTGCCACTGTCGCTCCAACACCAAGAATGAGAACTAAGATATCTATATTTGCTTCCACGCCATGAATCTAAGTTGCGTTCTGTGATTTCAAAGTGTGCACAACAGTGTTTCTGATATTTAACTCATGGTTCCATTTCAAAGAGATAGTTCATTCAAAAATAAAAATTCCTTTTTTTTTTTTACTCTTTGCTTTGTTTTAAATACCTTGCTCTTACAAAATGGTGTTGCCAGAATAAGTCTAAATCTGTGAGGTAGTTAGGCACATTTATATGGTATACGGTGTATTATTAGTTTTTGGGTAGAGGTATCCAAGGATGCATTTTGTATCAATTATTATTGTAAATGTATTTATACATTTTGTTTTAATTAGGTACTTTAAGCAACAGATGCAGATTGAACGGCAATGACATTCTGGTGTTCCATGGGGCCTGCGCGACATAAAACCTAAAAAGTCTACTGCTGGAGAAGAGCTGATTTGCCGTAGCCTATTCGTTAATTCGTGACTGATTAGATAAGTAAGTGTTATATTATGTGTCATTTTAAGTGTATCTGCCTACAATTTAATGCACTTTCTCTTGCCTTTTTTAAATTACATTTTTGGTTGCATTTCTTAAATTTATTTTAATGATTAAATTGAGTTTTTTGGGCCAATATATGTAAAAGGAAATTTGCTGTCTGCGCTGTTACTTTACAAAGACTTTAATTCGCTATAAGGCAACTAGGATGAAAATAACATGGTTGAAGTCCACTCTTAAATCAGTGCAAAGTTACAAAACATGGGGTTAGCGCCATCTATTGGGCATAAAGATGAAATGCCGATCTTTTACGTTTATTTTTCCACCGGTATAATTTAATTAAATACATTCAGAAACAGTTTTTAACTAATCATTTAGGCCTATGTGTATTATCCACAAAGACAAAGTCTCTATACTAAACTAATGTCAATAGGCTAAAGACTCATTTTATGTTTGTATAAACGAAACTGAAAGTGTTTTGTAGACAAAGACCGTCAAGTAGAGTAGGCTACTGGAAATAAATAATGTAATCGCACATTATATTAGGCTACTTCAGGGTCCAGGCTGGAAGGAGTGAAGTTAAACTAGGCTACTTAAGTTAAACTTATCCATCGGCACCCGAATGGGCTATATGCACGCATAAGTTCCGCATTTGACGCAAGGATGCTCGTCCATTTCCGGTTGTCGAGATTAAAGCGGAGGAAAACCGGAGAAAACGGGATTATGGCAGAGTCTTCAATATTTACTGTCCTCCCGTCTTTGAAACGAAACGTACATACGTTTAGATGTAATTTTATATATAGTTATGTTTATTTAATATAATTTTAAAAAGAAGCATGAACACAACGAAGGGTGTCTGTTTTATCTGTTTTTGTGACTAACGTTTCTTTAGTATAACCATGGAGTATAAAATTCAATATAAATTCTCGCTATTGCATTGGACTCTATGATCGGCGGAAGTTATCTAGCATCCTTAATGCTTCACTGGAAATAACGCCGTGCATAGAGCCCATATGCCTCGAATTGGTTTATCCAGATGTTCTTATTATAGGCGGCCTAGGACTATTTAATTATGAAAATGCCTCACTGCTGAGGGAGTACCTTTCACATTAACCTTTTATATGAAAACATATCTCTCAAATGATTTGCATTCGCCATGATTTGCCCATAAAGATCTGATTAACACAGATTAGAAAAGTGACTGACTTAAGCTTTATTAAGGTATGGATATAATGTAGCCTAACACGACAGTCAGTGCTTAACCGTGAATAAACAAAGTCTACATGCAAGATTGTAAATGGAGCAGAACTGGTTGTTGCAAAGGAAGGGGTGTCTTATAATACCATGTGACAGCAATAAAGGGGAGAAAAAGAAACCATGCTGCATGCTCCAGACCGATGTGCGGGTTTGCATAAAACGTAAGTTTGTTTAAAATGTCCTATATCGATAATTAGCCTAATACGTTAAAGAACAGGTAGAAAAGGGTCAATACAAGTATTACGAGGCATTTTTTTAATTTTCTTCCGATGATTTTTGTCTGTTTTAGCGATGACACGAAATCGAAAGCATTCTAGGGGAATCAGACCGTTAGCCGGGTAAACCCAAGAACGCTGTGAATGTTGCTTTAATGTGTTTTTGTTTGTCAAATGTACCTAATGTAACCGAATTAAATATAACATGTCCGTTCAATTAGCACAATGACCTTATTGACCTATATTAAAAATGTTTAATAGCCTACATTCTGAGCATGACATGATGTGAAATCAAATGAAAAAAAAAACTATAGTTCATAGGTGGATATAAATAGCATATATATTAGTGTAAAATTATATAAATTGCAATATAAGTTAAGGTTTCCCTGAAAAGGTGTTTCTCATTGCGTAGGCATATATCCTAAAGTTATGTTTATAAGAGTTATTTCAAATGCACCTATAGGCCTACACATTTGGTCCCACTGAATGAAAATATTTAGAGTTCAGGTTATGTTTATGCAGCTTGTTTGTTACCAATTCAAAACTCGTAATTATAATCACCTCATAACATTTTGGTCATGTCCAGGTCGTGCTGAGAAGCTGAACACATATCGACCCCAGTGCTGATCTGTTTTCAATGGCAGTTTAGCTGCAGTCGGAGGAGCGAGAAAAGGACATCTCTTTCTTTCTAAGATGAGTCTCTTGGAGAAACCGAGGTAAGACAGCGTATGTTTTCGGATTGTCATTTTAAACACGAATGAAGTGTCACAATTGTATTTGCAATTGTATTTATCATAAAGTTTTAGTTTAATTTACTTAAACAGTTATCAATAATCAACAATCATAAACTTTGAGTATACAGAAATTATGATAAATCTTTAAAGGTATAGTTCACCCCAAAAAATTATTTCTGTCAGAATATTTTCACCCTAAAGCTGTTCCAAACCTGAGTTTCTTTCTTGCATTGAACACAAAAGCCGATAGTTTGAAGAATGATTGGAAACCAGACAGTTGACATTCAATGGCTTCTTCAATTGTTTGGTTTCCAACACTCTTAAAAATATATTCTTTTGAGTTCAATGCAAGAAATAAACTCATGCAGGTTTGGATCAAATTGAGGGTATGTAAATTATGACAAAATGTTCATTTTTGGGTGAAGTATCCCTTTATGAAGCTCAGTAAGATGGAGGAAATGCATTCATTAGTCTACACAGTGAAAGGAAGAAACCGGCTGGTTCAGAGTCCAGTAAAGGTGTAGGGTTGAAAATTAACATTAAGTTGTCCTGCATCTCTGTTACAACTTTAGTTTATCTGCCAAAAAAAAAAGGTATTTTATATTCGCCAGGTCACAGAGATGCTGATAGTGATCAAGGTTTATTGGATGAGTTGTTAAACATTATAGTGATCTGCCTGGTGTCACACCTTTGTTCTTGTTTTAATATTGCTGGAACTCAAAGAGTATCACAAGATCATGGAAATTGATAACATATGCGTCTTGAATTAAATATATGTTGCTTTTGATGAAAGTATCTTCCAAATTTCTGGATAGGTTGATGTTAGTAATGTAAAAAAAAAAAAAAAAAGTTTATCCAATCATCCCAGAATATGAAGTATAGCTTTTTAGACTATCAGATATCAGGATAAAAAAAAAATGAAATGAAATGGAAAATAATCCACAGTTATGGTTTGCAATTATTGTCCGCAATAATAAACCTCTTTAAATGAGACTGAAGTACCCCATTTAGTAAAATGTTTTTCTCTGTCTTTCTTTCCTCTTTGTGTTATCAGGGAAAGATCAGACTCAGAGGTTCCCGGCTCTGAGTCTGTGAAGAGTGACCAGTTGAAAGGTGATTTCACTGAAGAAACACCTACCGAAAGGTATTTCATGTGTTTTCCACTGTTGGTCACACAGACACATAGACTTGGTTGGATCTTCTTAAGATTCTTTACTTCTGTTGCATCACTGTATTCTGCTTCGTCCAGAAACCTTAACCAAGTCTAACTAAAGCAGTATATATTGAGTTTGTATATACATTTGGAAGGGGAAGGGTTACATAGAGTTTGAGACACTGAAACAAAATCAAATGTAAAAGCATGTGACCGTAGAACTCCAAGCCTTAAGGCAAACAGTCTCAGTAATTAAAATAGCAGGTGTTCAAACTTGCTCAGCTCAAACTTGCTCACTCATGTTTTAATCAAACAGATCTCAATCCCCATTGACTACCATAGTATGTATTTTTTCCTACTATAGTCAATGGGGATTGAGATCTGTTTGATTAAAACATTCTTCCAAATATCTTCCTTTGTGTATAGCAGAACAAATAAACACATAGAGGTTTGAAACAACATTAGGGTGAGTAAATACTGACAGAATTTTCATTTTTGGGTGAACTAACCCTTTAAGACGAGAGAACGGTAAAGGCCTGACCTTCACATGCTGTAACACGACAGTCAGTAATATCTCGCTGGGAACGCCTACCATTTGCAGAGATTTCCTGGTCTCATCATTTTAGAAACTTTCTCCATCTAAAACACCACTGTATCTGAATTAAACAGGTTAATAAAATTTGTAATACCACAACACCAAAGGATTTTTTACATTTATAAGATTTTCAAAATGTGATGGACCACAAACGTAAGGACACAAAATCCTAGAAACTTTTATCTTTATTTCTCTTAATTGGTATCTTTTTTTCTATTGCGTTTGTTTGTGCTACTTTTTTCAATTTAAGTCAAAAAATGAAATCAAGCTTCCTTGTTTTGTGGAAAAGCACCTGAGGTAGACTGACCACGAGCCACGTGTTTGTGAAATGAAAGTTTCTGCTTCTGTAGAAGCTAGAGGTCTGTATGAAATCAACCTTGTTACAAGAAAAACTTGTTTTTTTCGCAATGTTGTGGAGAAAAACTACAATACAGTCCTAAGCTTAACAGCAACACCTCTGATTGGTCCAACTCGCTGTTACCATAGAAACGTTTACCGTACCCGCAAACGGCTATAGCGATAACATTAACTAGCTAGCTGACTACCAAAGGGATCTTGTTGTCACAATCTTTCAGTTGTCACAATCTTTCAATGCATATGATTACATCCAGACTTTATTTATCTAATAATGTGTCCTAAATTTTACTTGTAACATTGGCTAATGGGAAAAGGTAGAGGTGACTTGTTGAGTCAGTGGCATTTTTTACATTCATAAGATTTTCAAAATGTGATAGACCACAAAGGTAAGGACACAAAATCCTCGATTTTTGCTCCTATAGTGTGGGGTGTGCCATGATGTGACAAAGACAGCACCCCACCCCACACTCAAACAGATTTTCAACCTGAGTCTCGACTGTGAACACAGGAAATCTCGCAAAATCTTCAGTAGCACCTCAATGCAGTACATGAGATCCACGGGGAGGAGTCGGATCAAGATCCAAGGGGTGGAGATGGGTAGGATTAGGGATTGGTTTAGTGATTAAGGGTGGGTTTCAGGATCAGGGGGCGGAGTTGGGTAGGTTAAGGTGTATGTAAGGTGGGAGGAGTTGGATCTGGATCCGACTCCTCCCCGTGGATTTCATGTTCTGCAGTGAGAACCATCTCAAAATCTCGCGAGACTTCAGAATAAGCATGGCGATCGTTATGCAGGAATAAATTGTGATGATAGTGTTTTCACACCAAAAAATAACGGGGGAAAAAAAAAGAAAGAGAAGGGTTTGGGTGAAGTCGTGGAGATGGCAGGAATTTAGTGAACTTCTCAGATAAAGGTTGTGGTAATGCACACACGCTGGCCTGGCCTTGTCTCTCTCCCCTTTCGAAAGTTTACCATTGTTTTACTACAAATAAAAAAAAAATAAAACATGAATATTGTAGTTGAACCATGATAACCACAAATTAACCAAAGTTTTGCTAAAAAAAAAAAAAAATCTAACTATAGTATTTATTTGGTTATACAAATGTTCAATACGCCTATAATAAAACCATGGTTATCTCTCTCTCTCTCTCTCTCTCTCTCTCTCTCTCTCTCTCTCTCTCTCTCTCTCTCTCTCTCTTTGTGAGACACACACATCATGTGTACTGGTACACACTTACTTATACATACTTGAAACTAAGTAATCTCCTTTAAGAGTGTTTTTTTGTCTTCTTCTTTCTCTTTGTGTATTTAGTAAAAGACCAGATTCACCTGTATTGAGTTCTGTGTCTATGAAGAGTGACAATTCAAAAGGTGATGGACCGAACTTCAGCGAGAACAAATCATCTGCCGAAAGGTATTTAACCCTTTCAAGAGTACGTTTAAATGATTAGATTATCTTTTGGTGTGTACCTAGCATTAGTAAACCCAACCATCCATCTGCCCATCCATCCAACCACCCACCAACCTACAGTATCCACCAACCTACAGTATCCACCAACCCATCCATCCATCCATCCATCCATACATACATATTTCAGACTGAGTAATCTCCTTTAAGAGTGTTTTTTGTCTTCTTTTTTCTCTTTGTGTATTTAGTAAAAGATCAGATTCACCTGTATTGAGTTCTGTGTCTATGAAGAGTGACAATTCAAAAGGTGACGGACCGAACTTCAGCGAGAACAAATCATCTGCCGAAAGGTATTTAATCCTTTCACGGTTAAATTTAAATGATTAGATTATCTTTTGGTGTGTACCTAGCATTAGTAAACCCAACCATCCATCTGCCCATCCATCCAACCACCCACCAACCTACAGTATCCACCAACCCATCCATACATCCATCCATACATACATATTTCAGACTGAGTAATCTCCTTTAAGAGTGTTTTTTGTCTTCTTTTTTCTCTTTATGTATTTAGTAAAAGATCATATTCACCTGTATTGAGTTCTGTGTCTATGAAGAGTGACAATTCAAAAGGTGACGGACCGAACTTCAGCGAGAACAAATCATCTGCCGAAAGGTATTTAACCCTTTCAAGAGTAAGTTTAAATGATTAGATTATCTTTTGGTGTGTACCTAGCATTAGTAAACCCAACCATCCATCTGCCCATCCATCCAACCACCCACCAACCTACAGTATCCACCAACCCATCCATACATCCATCCATACATACATATTTCAGACTGAGTAATCTCCTTTAAGAGTGTTTTTTGTCTTCTTTTTTCTCTTTATGTATTTAGTAAAAGATCATATTCACCTGTATTGAGTTCTGTGTCTATGAAGAGTGACAATTCAAAAGGTGACGGACCGAACTTCAGCGAGAACAAATCATCTGCCGAAAGGTATTTAACCCTTTCAAGAGTAAGTTTAAATGATTAGATTATCTTTTGGTGTGTACCTAGCATTAGTAAACCCAACCATCCATCTGCCCATCCATCCAACCACCCACCAACCTACAGTATCCACCAACCCATCCATACATACATACATATTTGAGACTGAAGAATCTCCTTTAAGAGTGTTTTTTGTCTTCTTCTTTCTCTTTGTGTATTTAGTAAAAGATCAGATTCACCTGTATTGAGTTCTGTGTCTATGAAGAGTGACAATTCAAAAGGTGACGGACCGAACTTCAGCGAGAACAAATCATCTGCCGAAAGGTATTTAACCCTTTCAAGAGTAAGTTTAAATGATTAGATTATCTTTTGGTGTGTACCTAGCATTAGTAAACCCAACCATCCATCTGCCCATCCATCCAACCTACAGTATCCACCAACCCATCCATACATCCATCCATCCATACATACATATTTCAGACTGAGTAATCTCCTTTAAGAGTGTTTTTTGTCTTCTTTTTTCTCTTTGTGTATTTAGTAAAAGATCAGATTTACCTGTATTGAGTTCTGTGTCTATGAAGAGTGACAATTCAAAAGGTGACGGACCGAACTTCAGCGAGAACAAATCATCTGCCGAAAGGTATTTAATCCTTTCACGGTTAAGTTTAAATGATTAGATTATCTTTTGGTGTGTACCTAGCATTAAACACATCCTTCCTGTGAGAAGGACACATGCTCTTCCATTGAGACTGAAGAATCTCCTTTAAGAGTTTTTTTTTGTCTTCTTCTTTCTCTTTGTGTATTTAGTAAAAGACCAGATTCACCTGTATTGAGTTCTGTGTCTATGAAGAGTGACAATTCAAAAGGTGACGGACCGAACTTCAGCGAGAACAAATCATCTGCCGAAAGGTATTTAACCCTTTCAAGAGTAAGTTTAAATGATTAGATTATCTTTTGGTGTGTACCTAGCATTAGTAAACCCAACCATCCATCTGCCCATCCATCCAACCACCCACCAACCTACAGTATCCACCAACCCATCCATACATACATACATATTTGAGACTGAAGAATCTCCTTTAAGAGTGTTTTTTGTCTTCTTTTTTTCTCTTTGTGTATTTAGTAGAAGATCAGATTCACCTGTATTGAGTTCTGTGTCTATGAAGAGTGACAATTCAAAAGGTGACGGACCGAACTTCAGCGAGAACAAATCATCTGCCGAAAGGTATTTAACACTTTCACAGTTAAGTTTAAATGATTAGATTGGCTTTTGGTGTGTACCTAGCATTAGTAAACCTAACCATCCATCTGCCCATCCATCCAACCACCCACCAACCTACAGTATCCACCAACCTACAGTATCCACCAACCCATCCATACATACATATTTGAGACTGAAGAATCTCCTTTAAGAGTGTTTTTTGTCTTCTTCTTTCTCTTTGTGTATTTAGTAAAAGATCAGATTCACCTGTATTGAGTTCTGTGTCTATGAAGAGTGACAATTCAAAAGGTGACGGACCGAACTTCAGCGAGAACAAATCATCTGCCGAAAGGTATTTAACCCTTTCAAGAGTAAGTTTTTAAATAATTAGATTATCTTTTGGTGTGTACCTAGCATTAGTAAACCCAACCATCCATCTGCCCATCCATCCAACCTACAGTATCCACCAACCCATCCATACATCCATCCATCCATACATACATATTTCAGACTGAGTAATCTCCTTTAAGAGTGTTTTTTGTCTTCTTTTTTCTCTTTGTGTATTTAGTAAAAGATCAGATTCACCTGTATTGAGTTCTGTGTCTATGAAGAGTGACAATTCAAAAGGTGACGGACCGAACTTCAGCGAGAACAAATCATCTGCCGAAAGGTATTTAATCCTTTCACGGTTAAGTTTAAATGATTAGATTATCTTTTGGTGTGTACCTAGCATTAAACACATCCTTCCTGTGAGAAAGACACATGCTCTTCCATTGAGACTGAAGAATCTCCTTTAAGAGTGTTTTTTGTCTTCTTCTTTCTCTTTGTGTATTTAGTAGAAGATCAGATTCACCTGTATTGAGTTCTGTGTCTATGAAGAGTGACAATTCAAAAGGTGATGGACCGAACTTCAGCGAGAACAAATCATCTGCCGAAAGGTATTTAACCCTTTCAAGAGTAAGTTTAAATGATTAGATTATCTTTTGGTGTGTACCTAGCATTAGTAAACCCAACCATCCATCTGCCCATCCATCCAACCACCCACCAACCTACAGTATCCACCAACCCATCCATACATCCATACATACATACATATTTCAGACTGAGTAATCTTCTTTAAGAGTGTTTTTTGTCTTCTTTTTTCTCTTTGTGTATTTAGTAAAAGACCAGATTCACCTGTATTCAGTTCTGTGTCTATGAAGAGTGACAATTCAAAAGGTGACGGACCGAACTTCAGCGAGAACAAATCATCTGCCGAAAGGTATTTAACCCTTTCAAGAGTAAGTTTAAATGATTAGATTATCTTTTGGTGTGTACCTAGCATTAGTAAACCCAACCATCCATCTGCCCATCCATCCAACCTACAGTATCCACCAACCCATCCATACATACATACATATTTGAGACTGAGTAATCTCCTTTAAGAGTGTTTTTTGTCTTCTTTTTTTCTCTTTGTGTATTTAGTAAAAGATCAGATTCACCTGTATTGAGTTCTGTGTCTATGAAGAGTGACAATTCAAAAGGTGACGGACCGAACTTCAGCGAGAACAAATCATCTGCCGAAAGGTATTTAACACTTTCACGGTTAAGTTTAAATGATTAGATTGTCTTTTGGTGTGTACCTAGCATTAGTAAACCCAACCATCCATCTGCCCATCCATCCAACCTACAGTATCCACCAACCCATCCATACATCCATACATCCATACATACATACATATTTCAGACTGAGTAATCTCCTTTAAGAGTGTTTTTTTTTTGTCTTCTTTTTTCTCTTTGTGTATTTAGTAAAAGATCAGATTCACCTGTATTCAGTTCTGTGTCTATGAAGAGTGACAATTCAAAAGGTGATGGACCGAACTTCAGCGAGAACAAATCTGCCGAAAGGTATTTAACACTTTCACGGTTAAGTTTAAAGGATTAGATTGTCTTTTGGTGTGTACCTAGCATTAAACACATCCATCCTGTGAGAAGGACACGTGCTCTTCCATTGAGACTGAAGAATCTCCTTTGAGAGTTTTTTTTGTCTTCTTTTTTCTCTTTGTGTATTTAGTAAAAGATCAGAATCACCTGTATTGAGTTCTGTGTCTATGAAGACTGACAATTCAAAAGGTGACGGACCGAACTTCAGCGAGAACAAATCATCTGCCAAAAGGTATTTAACCCTTTCACAGATAAATTTAAATAATTTTTTTAAACGGTTCCTCTTATTATTTCCATGACAACACGTCAAGTTTGACACGTGACTCACCGCATCCACAATATTGCTGTATTGCTATTCTCTAAATACCCGGCTACTGTATGTGTAAATGTGGCCTGAATGCATTTGGAAATCCTTCTCTTCATCTAGAATTTTAGCAGGCACTTTAAAACGGACCGATTTAAAACACGCCGATCCAAGATCAGTCTTACTCACTTTTGTCGCCAGCTATTTTGACAATAATGGCTGTATGTTGAATTATTTTCAGAGGACAGTAAATAAATACAGATACACGAACAGCACATTGACTACTCTAAAATATACCTACGTTTCATTTTAGTATTGTCCCTTGAGTAGATATACAAAAATGTTTGCAGAAATGTGAGGTGTTGTACTCACTTTTGTGAGATATTATGTGTGTGTACAGTGTATAATTATTTTGTTTATATAATTATACACATGCATGTTTATATTTAGGATAAATGTGTTATTTATATATAAAATATGTATATATATCAGAAATTATATAATACAGTATATACATGTAAATATTTCTCAAAATATACATGCATGTGTGTGTATATAAACAAAATAATTATACACAGTTCACAGACATAAATTATGTAAACACAAACTTTTATTTTAGGTACAAGTAATCGCGATAAATCGTTTTTCAGCCCTACTGTGAACCTCAGATCAACCTGTTTATTCAACTAAGCAGCCCTCTGCTGGGCAGAGCAACTAGATCAGAGCATAGCAGAAGCGACTCCACCTTTTTGGGGGGTTTTGAGTCTCAACCGCAGTATTGAAATGTTTATCTGCCCACAATGGGTACATGACTCATCCACAAAACTCACCTCAGAATTTAAAAGACACATTGTCACACCTGTGCTTACTCCATCAGGGAAATAGCTCTTTTAATATTGCTGAAGCGCCCCGGGGAATGGTCTCATTCTTGCACAACTTACAAGACCTGTATTTAAGTCTGCAGTGTGCAACAATGCTCTTTTAGAACTGCAGTAGGAAATGCTCTTGAAGTAACCAACGCTGACACACAGTCACACCAACACTTGCTGAAGAACTCTCCCAACTCATAGCATACTCGTGGATGATTGCAGAGCAGGATCAGACTGTAACGCTCAGCTCCGAAGCGGAAGCTTGAAGTGTGATCGCATACGCGTCTTCTTATAAACCCGCTTTACGAGGCAGGGGGCGTGATGCAAATCTCGCACGCCAATATGCATTGGTTCGTTTAGATTACATGACTGACTGATAGAGAACCATCACAAGCAATGAATAAAAACATACTTGGGGAAAGTCCATGACATATAGATGGGAAAAGCCAGTCGTCTTGGAGTGGTGCTGAATGCATTGTTCTGCTCTCAATTAATCAATTTCTCCTTTTGGATTTGGGTAAAGAATAATTCATGTGTGTGTGCGTGCAGTGGCGGATTTAGCAAATAGGGGGCTCAAGGCGAAGGTAGTATGGGGCCCCCCATCCGATCTTTAAATACACTTTGCTTCATTTTTACTCTGTCTACTCTACTACTCTGTACACTCTGTCTGTCTATCACTTTTTTTCTCTGTCAGTATTTGTGGCGCATTATAGCCTTGTCACTCTCGCAGATGCGCAGTAAGTGAGATAATGGAATAGTGCAGTGTAGTAAGGTGGTGGGCCCCCTCCTGTCTGCGACACTAATGATTTGATGCCATTTTTCTGAAAATTGAGTTTTTTAGAAATATATAATTTGCGAAAAGTAAAAAAAAAAAAAGTGTGCAAAAAATGTAAGCATAAGTTAACGGGGCATTTTAGGGGCCCTAGGTAGCTCGGGGCCCAAGGCGATTGCCGACCTTTGCCTAATGGTAAAGTCCGCCCCTGTACAAGCACAAAAGCATCAAAAGACATTAAGTTGTATGTAGCAAGCATGATTTATCATGATATACTACATCTCAGTGTGATATTACATAATTAACCATGTTCCAATATGATTTATCATAATTTACCATGTTAAAATATGATTTACTACAGTTTAGTTCACACACTCATTTTCAACTTCAGGATCATAGTCATTTTTTACTAAATGTGGTTGTAAATGTTAAAAGATTGAATTGATAAAGTTATACTATGAATTATAGTTGAGTATTGTGAAAAAAAAAAATAATTTAAACAGCAGCGGGCAGTAAAACACCACTCATTGGCCACCTATAATCCGATCCTCACGGAACTTTGCGGAGGAACTTTGGTTGCTGTAGCGCCACCTACCAAGCCAACAACAGCCAACCAAATGCAAAATTTCAACTTTTTTTACGATAATTATTGATCTAGAGAGTCCAGAGAATAGGCCTAGACTGGTTTGGTCCCGATTGGGCAAAAAAACAGGGACTAGTTCGCAAAAGTGGGTTTTGGACAAAAACCGAAATAACAAATTTTTTTTTGCTCCAAATGGATATTCGAGATATACATCTTGTCCGTCTTGAGCTAAGTCAAACGGTCTAGGAGTTATGAGCAATTTAGTACTTTTGGTTGCTGTAGCGCCACCTATGGGCCAATCGGGCTCATACTCTGATAGCTTCTCCAAAATTTAAGGCCCTACCATCTGACAAAGTTTCAGAGCTCCAGCCCTTACGGTTTGGGCTGCACAATGTGTTTTAGGGGATTTTTTTTTTCTTTCCAGCAAATACAATAGGTTTTCAGCACTTCGTGCTTGAACACCTAATAACCGACACCGAACACAGTGGCGCAGTGGATAAGACGCATGCCTTTGGTGTGAGAGACCTGGGTTCGAATCCACTGTGAGACACCAATGTGTCCCTGAGCAAGACACTTAACCCCTAGTTGCTCCAGAGGCATGTGACCTCTGTCATGTATAGCAATTGTAAGTTGCTTTGGATAAAAGCGTCTGCTAAATGAATAAATGTAAATGTAAATGTTATGAACACAGAGCTCAGGTGAAACAGATGGTAATAGGTTGCAGGTGCCGATAATGGGGAACGGGGTGTACCGAGGCGAGGAGGATGATGGGAGCTATAGTGCAGACAGGGATTAATGCTAGACAGTGATGATGATAGTGATAATGACAAAGTCGAAGACAATTAGGTGATTGTGATGAATGTGACGACACTGAGGAACCTCCTGTAGTAATGTTTTTAGTTTTGTCATTAGCGAAAGATTGTTCTCACGTGTGTCCAGCTCTGTGTCTGTGAAGAGTGACCATTCAAAAGGTGATGGACCGAACTTAAGTGAGAAAACACCATCATTTACCAAAAGGTATTTGATGGGTTTTTTATTGTTGCTACACATAGACTGTGAACAAAAGGTATTTCAAGAAATATTTTTCATTAAACATTTTTTTCTTTTTCTTAAAACGTGTTAATTCATTTTCTAGTGTCACAGTTGAGAAATTACTGCTACTACATGTTTAAACTTTGTTACAGTAAATTGTATTTATTAACTCAATTGCAAAACCAAATCTGACTAGTTAATATTTGTTACTCTCTACTCTTTGTGTTATTAAAAGGTCCGGCTCACGTGTATCCTTCAGTGAAGAAACACTGTCACAAACCAAAAGGTATTCCACATTTATGTTTTATTTATGTTACATTATTTAAATTATGCTATGTATTGTATGGTGGAGACCGAGGCAATTTTTGCACAATGTGGACAATGAAGTAAATTAAAACCAGGACTTGAAATATTAATACAATAAATGCATGGTTATTCTTTATTTAATTACCATTTGCAACTTATCTTCAAAGGAGAATGAAGTAATTCCTGAAGTAAAACCTTTTTTTTTTCTTTTTCTTTGTGTCATTAGTGAAAGATCAGGCTCACATGTGTCCAGCTCAGTGTCTGTGAAGAGTGATCATTCAAAAGGTGATGGACCGAACTTCAGTGAGAAAATCCCATCTAACAGAAGGTAACATCTAACAAAAATGACTCAAATACTGTACGTGAGCTGTTGTGTAGTAGACAATGTAGCTGGAAAAATGTCCTGTAGTCAAGTGTTTTTTTCCTCTTTTTGGTCTTTGTGTCCTTACTAGAAGATCAGGCTCACATGTGTCCAGCTCAGTGTCTGTGAAGAGTGACCATTCAAAAGGTGATGGTCCAAACTTCAGTGAGAAAACACCATCTAACATAAGGTAACATCTAACAAAAATGACCCAAATACTGTACGTGAGCTGTTGTGTAGTAGACAATGTAGCTGGAAAAATGTCCTGTAGTCAAGTGTTTTTTTCTCTTTTTGGTCTTTGTGTCCTTACTAGAAGATCAGCCTCACATGTGTCCAGCTCTGTGTCTGTGAAGAGTGACCATTCAAAAGGTGATGGTCCAAACTTCAGCGAGAAAACACCATCTAACATAAGGTAACATCTAACAAAAATGACCCAAATACTGTACGTGAGCTGTTGTGTGAGCGTTAGACAATGTAGCTGGAAGAATGTCCTGTAGTGAAGTGTTTTTTTTCCCTCTTTTTGCTCTTTGTGTCATTAGTGTAAGATCAGGCTCACATGTGTCCGGATCTGGATCTGTAAAGAGCGATCATTCAAAAGGTGATGGACCAAACTTTAGAGAGGAAAAAACACCTGAAAAAAGGTATTTCATATGTTTTGCACTACATCAATTAATCTTCTCACTGTGGTAAAAGTGATAGACCTTGACTAAATACAAGAATAAATTCCTGAACACAATGGCCGTGTAATATTAATCCTCTGGAGGTAAGTTGAAAGTGAGAACCTGTGTGCATTTCATTGAAATTGAATTTTCAATAATACTTTATTTATTGCTTTATATAGTATATGTTTGTACAGGAATGAAGTTCAACAAATCAAGCGTATACTTTCAATAAAGTGAGGTCTAGGTTTTTAATTAGTTTTATTTTGATATACATGACACAATGTGACATCACAACTACATGAAAGGAGCTTTTATTGTTGTAAAAAAAACAGATTTGTGAGCATTGCTAGAACTGATGAGAATAAACACCAAACACTTCATGGAGAAGCAGTGCAGAATGAACGAACTGGCTACACTCGTATCGCTCTCGCTGTACTTTGAAGGCATACATCACAGTCACGTGGCTTCTGCGCCGTTTCAAGTCGGACGAAATTTTGTAACCAGCATGTGCTGCGTCAAGTCAGACAACAATCTGTCTGCTCAGAAACATAAATCTGGAACAAAATAACACTGGGAAACAATGACCAAAAGGAACAGCAAATGTCTACATCTAACAACTGACCAAAAGTAATTTATACACATGGGCTATCTATACACAGGGGCAAAGAAGCTTAAAGGAACACTCCGACTTTTTGGGACTTTAGAATATTCACCTTACCCCCCAGAGTTAGATAAGTCCATACATACCTTTTTCATCTCCGTGCGTGCTATAAGTCTGTTTGACGCACCCACCGCTAGCCTAGCTTAGCACAAAGACTGGATGTGAATGGTTGCAGCTTTCATACTAATCCAAATGAGTGACAAAATAACGCAAACGTTTTCCTATTTACATGTTGTGGTTTGTATAGTCACAGAGTGTGCAAATATCAAGGCCATATGAGACACAGACATCTTTTGACCGTATAAATACTATATTTTCTGAAGGCGAAGCACTGCTACTTGGGCAGAGTGATAACAATCACCTGAGACGCACCGTGACGAGGAGCAGAGAGTTCGCTTCGCTCAGCGTTGGAATAAAGAGTCAGCAATTACTAACGTTAGATAGAAAAGCATAGTTTATCATGGGTGTTTGCTTTATTGTATGAGCTGTGACAATAAACAGGGGAGACCAGGTAATACAGTACCATGTTTCATTGATTTCCAACCAAAAACGCACCCAGATTTATAAATATCACATGAATAAATAATTATTATTACAGGAATCAATATATTTTAAATGCAATTTAACCAAATGTATTCAACAGTAGCCTATATAATATACAGTATTGCATTACTATAGGATAGAATAAGGGGAAAGTAATAGCACAAATTGTTTTTGCACAATGAACTCACAGCCTATCGTACCCTTTTGCACGCTCAAGTTCGTTATTTCCATGGTTATTTCAAATTTAGGCTACTAGGCGCGCAGCGCGCAGGGTGCAAGTTCAACGCGGTAAACGCGCTCGGTTTTTTTTCCCAAGCGCGTCCGCACCGCATCAAGATAAAAACACATTCATACCCTAATCATATAATAGTGTCACTAACGTTACATTAGATCTGGCTAATAATGGCAGTACAGCAATGTTACATTAGGTCATCTAAAAACATAACGGAACACTTACCTCAGCTGCAGGTGATCCACTTGTCCTGTCTGTGCTATCGATGGGATGGCCGTATCCTTCAGCACATTATGGTCCGTGTGGCAAATTCCATTTTTTCAAAATAGTCGTCCTCATTGAAATGTACCGAGCAAACATAATGTCCCTTGATAATCTTAGGTGTGTTTGGATAAATATCCAGAGTAAGTTAGCCATTTCTTCATCCAGTCAGCGTTTTTAGTTGGAATTCTGTGAAACATGGTATTCTCTATAAACCTCCCCTGTTTACTGTCGCAGCTATTTACAATAGAGCGAAAACCCATGACTCTAAACTACGCTTTTACTATTTCTAAATTGCTGACTCTATTACCCAAACACCGAGCGAACTCTCCGCTCCTCACCACTGCGTGTCTCCGGTGATGCGGTTATTACGCCGTCAAAGTAGCAGTGCTTCGCCTTCAGAGAATAGTTCCCAGGTTTTATACGGTTAAAAGATGTCTGTGTCTCATTTGACTTTGTTATTTGTACATTATGTGACTATACAAATCACAACATGTAAATAGGAAAACGTTTGCGTTATTTTGCCACTCATTTGGATCAGTATGAAAGCTGCAACCAGTCACATCGAGTCTTTGTGCTAAGCTAGGCAAGCGGTGGGTGCGTCAAACAGACTTATAGCACGCACGGAGATGAAAAAGGTATGTATGGACTTATCTAACTCTGGGGGGTAAGGTGAATAGGCTAAAGTCCCAAAAAGTCGGAGTGTTCCTTTAACAAGATAATGACTTAACAAGACACACCTGAGTACGACTAACAGGAACAGTTAATAACACAAAAGTTCAGACAAGACATGGGAATAATGGAGTCTCCACCATTTTTTTGTACATTTGGAGTGCTGTCAGTACAGACAAAAACGACAAAAATCGGTGTTTGCTACACAGTGTTATCTTCTTTTTAAAATTCGCACCCTGTTGGCTTCAATGGGGCGAGTTCTAAACCTGCTTTTAGCCTCTTGACATCCTTGATTTGTCATTTTGAGTGCACAGCCATGTGAGTGGTGTTATTAAGAGTGACCACGGTCAATCTGACTGCAGTAGATGTGATAGATATTAACAAAAATGATGTCAATTCAGCCAGCTCACATATGTATTTACTTCCTGTTTTCGGTCAAAGCCCACAGTATTTTCGGTCAAAGCCACAGGATTTTTTTTTATCATATGTTAATTTAAAAAAATATATTGTATAATATGACTTCTTGTTTATAATTGTTTTGTTTTTGTTGTATTTATATGATATTTGTATTTTTGGAAATGAATTTTTTGCCATGAAAATTGCTCTGACTGCTGACATGGCATGAAATAAAATAATCTGAATCTATGCGATGGGATGGGATGATGGGATGACATGACACTGACCATTTTTACCGTTGTTAAACTAGCAAAAGTGGATTCAGACACTCCCTAAGTGCACTGTGTAGACCATGCGCTTGCATCGTTAAAATAGGGCCCACAGTTAGGATTGACGGTATGGTTCTGTTTTGGGCAGGAACTCCCTACAATTATTCACCAGGTCACACAAACACTCCTCATATGTGCAAACTCTAATTGTTTTACTGATCACTAACCAATCACTGCTTTACTGTAGTATAAGCCTATAATAGGTCAAAGGTCAGATTACCTGTTTTAAACAATAGATGCCAACAATGGACAGAGACCCCCACAGACTCAATTGTGTCCTTTACTGTATTATAAAGAATATACTTTTGGTTTACATATGTTTATGGTTTTGTTGTATAGTGTATACAACAGTAATGTTTGGCCTAATGAATATTTTCTGTTTCTGTCAGTGTACTTGTTACCGGTCTCAGAAGACTACTTTCACTGTAGAACATTGTATTGATATAAGCGTATGGAAGACCAAAGAGCTTTAGATTTAGAAAAAAGAAAAAAAAACAATGTTTACATGGTGTATCAAAAAATGCACTAGTGTTTGCCATTTGATGGAAATGCTTCATTCTGACATGTGTTTATGGCATTTTGAATGCAGTTACATTTTTGAAGGAGATGCGAGGCATTTTGTGTGTGAAGTTTTGGGAATTGTGTGTTGAGTTTTGAAAAAAGGTGAAATAGTTTTGAAAATGTGTGAAAGTTTCTAAAGACTGCTGCACAGTGGCAGCAACTAGTGTCTTGAGCTCAAACAACACTAAGAGAGAGCTTACGAATGGTCCAGACCAACCTTATGAAAGTGTGACTTACAGAAGATATACTTAGCGTACGAACGTTTCCGGAACCGTGCCATAAGGTTAAGAGAGAGGTTAAGGAATAGGTTAAGAACTACTTAGAGATAAGAACTTTTTGGGGAACCGGGCCCAGTAAAATATAATTTGAGAATTTTGTCTGGTTCAAATAGCAATGAATGCCAAATCCTGACTGGGCGAGACGGAGGAGGGTAATTAGCTCCTGAGAAACACGATAGCTGCTGATAATACTGAAGGAGCTTATATACACAGTGAGAGGCGTTATATTGCTATAGGTAGATGTGGATCAGCTGAGAGTCAGCTGATGCGAGCTTTACTAACGTGACCTGCCAGAACTGATGCAACTCTTGATTTTGGCCAAAATAAAATTGACAACAGTGAACCTGTTAATTTTATGTGATTTTCTTCTTTTTGTGTGTTGTTTAGTAAAAAAGGGCAAAAAACCACAGTTAATATTGGTGAAGAATTTACACGGTGGGAAGCTCTAAAAATACAGAAGAAATTGAAGAGTGATGTGGAACTGGCATCTTTTCTTCTCAACAGGTGAGAGCTAAATATTTCACAGTTTATCATTCACTTCCAACTTAAAGGTGCTGTGTGTATTTTTTAGTGGCATCTAGTGGTATTTTTGCGAGTTGCACTAAGGGCTAAGCCCACTGCTCACCCCTTCCTTTCGAAGAAGCTACGGTGGCTAAAACGGGACAAACATATCATCATCTGAGACAGCAGTGAATAGACAGAGTAAGCCAAGAGTGTGTAACATTGTCACTGTTTCTGTACCACAGTCCATTAAACCACATCATGGATAAATTTTACAAAGCTGTAGTCAGGTGAGGATCAATGGTCTTTATATATAATATAATAATAGTAATCAGCTGATTGTCTCACAAACGTAACTAGCACATTTCTCCCAACATAGCAAACCCATGCAACTATCATAGAAACTGTCAGCTTTTAACAGGCTTCATTGTTCTCTGTTGAAATCAATGGGGTCGCTCTGTCCATTTCTTTTACTGTCTATGGCTGAGCCCTTAGTGCAACTCGCAGCCGAACCACTAGATGTTGATAAAAATCCACACTGCACCTTTAAATTCAGGACCTTGCCATAAGATCATACATTTCAGTCACCATGGTCAAGTAAAATGAATATGTAATAGTCTATTATTACTACTAGAAAATGTGCCCCATAACTCCCCCAAATGTGCCCACATTACTCTGATGTTTCTTGTAACTGAGCCATTACTATGGATTGAAATGCCTACCACCCCCAAATTATTTTGCTACCAGGATTCAACATGAGAAATCAGACTCAGACTTGAAGAATCACCGCTTCCGCAGGGATTTCAAAGAAAATCTACTCTGGATCTTCAAGGTAAGTAAAAACCAAATCTCAACTCAAAAATACCCAAAACCTCTCATTAACAAACAAAGTGTAGACACGATGTATAGTAAGTTAGAGATTTATTGTGTTGCATATTGGGCCATATTTTAATATAGGAATGAGACATGCGTAGAGACAGAGAGAGTATGAAGTAATTTGCTCCGGGTGCAAGATAGAGCCCATAATCTTAAATGTCCCTCTGTGGCCTAAACTGCTATGGTGGAGTCGTTGCTCAGCCTTCATCTGCACTTAAAAGAATACCCTCAATAATTTCAGAAGCATCGCCAGTTATTTGATTCTGGAACCGGGCCTGTTTGTGTTTTTTTTATTTACCATGACTTTACCTTGTATGATCAATAATGTATGGTCAATAATGCAAATGAGTGCATTTTTACTGTTGCTTGTCTGTAATTTGTTCTACAAGTAAATTGTTTACATTTTTAACATGTTTTAAATTTATAAAGGGTATAGGATTTGGTTACTTTTTTTGGCCTGTCCCTTATTTTTCTGCTTGCTTGCTTTGTTTTCAGGCTCTTGAGAAAAAAATTGCCATATTTCTGAAGAATGAGCTGGAAAAGTTGAAGAAAATACTAAAAAGAGAGAACACACAATACTTTGTGCAGGACTTTACAGAGGAAATGCGTGATATTAAAGAAGCAGCTCTTGATATGACTCTCTACTTCCTGAGAGATATGAATGAAGTTGAGGCTGCAGATGCTCTACAAGGTAAGAGTTTAACCCTCTCGGGTCTAATGTGTTTTTGGGGTCCTTGAGATGTTCTGACAAGCCCTGACATTTGTGCTTTTTTAAGTTGCATATAAACATATTAATGACAAAGGTGAAATTACACTCTATTTAGCACAAACAAGGCTCCCATAATATGTGAGCAACATGTATGTACATGTTTGTATTTGTGAGAGAATATTGTTTATGCGTGGTTATTGAAAAAAAAAATGAAAGTTTCTGAAATAAGGCCACAAAACACATACTAAATATGTGCCCACAAGACTTTTGGCTAATGGATGTTGTTGCCTAGAGTTTTTTCTTCACAATGATCTGAAAATCATCCTCCTAAACGTTCACATAAAACTGAATGGCCGTGAACAGGCCAGCCCTCGTCATGAATAAACAGGTGATTCTTAACTGAGAGAGACAAAGTCCCACATAATAATGAGCCTTTCATTCAGGTGTGCACACAAGAAAAAGTTGAAAGGACAACATACAACATACATATATGTATGTATAAAATCTTAATGTAAATGATAGTCAAAAAACATTTTTAGTCAAACCTGGAAACAAAGGTTATATGGGCCATTCTATAGAATTGATTCAAAGTTAGAGTTGGAAACATCTTGAAAAGAAAATTATTTTTCCATTTAAAGTATTATTTTTAAAGTTGGCCAATACATTTTATCATACATATTTCAAAGTTAAGGATTCATTATTTTGATATGTGCATTGCATTAGCTTGCATTGGATAACAGTTGATTAGTTTATGTTTGACAAAACATACTATATATTTAACATATGAACAGAAACTGTCTAACTAAAGCTTATTTGATGTCTATTTTATTGTAAAAACTTTATAATCTATTTCGTCTGCAACAGTAGGCTATGCATCTGTGCATTTGTTCGTTCACACACTCAGACACGCAATTCATATTTAAATAGTCTTTTCGGTTTTACAGATCTGTAACAAATCTCAATAGTTTATTTATAGTCTTACTAATATAGAAGCGGAGTGAATGAATGCACAGACAGACACAAACACACAGACACGCATTTAATGTTTAAACAGTCTTTGTGCAGTTTACAGACACTATTTAATAACGCGATTAGAACAAAGCACTTAAGAAAAAAATTCTTACAGCTGCATCTGTGTGCTCCTCGAAATGAAACAGGTAATTGAGGTAACTTTCCCAGGAATTATTCCTCACTGCGCTGCAAGACGAAAGGTTAGGACGAGGGAAGATTTGTAATAAAGCCCAGCTGATGTGGGCGTTATATGGCTTGCCTCAACATTAGCGTTTGTATAGCACACGCTCTAAGTGGACGTGTCACATTAACATGCATACGCTATAATTAGGTGAAAGGAAAAAGACAGACATCTAGCTTTTTATATAAATTACTTCATTTAAAAGAAGAGAATTTCAGCTTCATAAAGATAAATCTTTTGTGTCTCTGTGACAAGTATTTACTGAGTTACAGTTCATTTTTCAGATGCGTTTCAGAAAGATTTTTGCGGATTTTCGCACTGTTTATTTTATTTATTTTACAAAAACACAAGGTTTTGATGTTAATAAGAGTGCACACAAAAAAGAAGACCCTCTATAGTTTATAATCCTGTATTGATTTTATTTATATGACCATTAGTGACGGAGTATTTTAAGTCTATGTTGCAGCTATGTGGAAAAAAAAACAGCAAAACGCGGCAGCGCGTGAGCCGACCTCAGAGGGTTAATGGGCATACAAATCTGTCTATGTCAATTATAAAATGCACAAGAGAATGATCCATATTTTTTTTTTATCGACATTTGTATGATAGATGAGCTGGTCCTCATTCATCAACGACCACTAAAATCAAACCTGAAGAGGAAGCATCAGTCTGTATCTGAAGGAATTGCAAAGCACGGTGACTCCAAGCTTCTGAATAACATCTACACAGATCTCTATATGACACAGGGTGCCATTCAACAAGTCAATGCAGAACATGAAGTAAGACAGATTCAGGCTGCTTCCAGGCGGCAAGAATCACAAGAGATTCCAGTTGAGTGCAAAAATTTGTTTGAACCATCTGAACAAGACAAGGAGATCAGAACTGTACTGACAAAAGGAGTTGCTGGCATCGGAAAATCCATTTCTGTGCAAAAGTTTATTGTGGATTGGGCTGAAGGAAAAGAAAATCAGGATATTACTTTCATATTTCCTCTTGCATTTCGAGAGATGAACCTAAAGGAGAAAGAAAAACAAAGTTTAACAAGTCTTATAAGTCAGTTTTTCCCAGAGATAAAAGGATTGAACCTTGCAAGAAATGATAAATTAAAAGTCCTGTTCATCCTTGATGGATTGGATGAATGTCGTCTTCCTCTAAACTTTGATGGCAATGAGACGTGGCGTGACGTATCGTCACCAGCCTCTCTGGATGTTCTCCTGACGAACCTCATCAAGGGAAATCTGGTTCCTTCTGCTCTCATCTGGATCACCACCAGACCAGCCGCTGCCAGTAAGATTCCTCCTGAATGTATTGACCGCGTGACAGAAGTACAAGGATTCAATGATGCACAAAAGAAGGAGGAATACTTCAGGAAAAGATTCACAGATGTGGATCTGGCCAACGAAATCATTGACAATGTTAAACAATCAAAGAGTCTCTTCATCATGTGCTACATCCCAGTCTTCTGCTGGATTTCGGCCACTGTTCTTCAGAACATTTTGGAAGAGAAAAGAGAAAATAATGATGTAAAAAACAATCAGGCTGACGATTCCTCTAAAACACAATCAAATACTGAAGACACTCCCAAGACTCTGACACAAATGTACACACACTTTCTCCGCTTTCAGATCCAGCAGAGCAGACGAAAGTATAATCAAGATAATCAATACAAACCTGATGTTTCCTGGGACAAAGACGCCATCCTTTCACTGGGGAAACTGGCATTTCATCAGCTGCAAAGAAACAACCTGCTCTTCTATGACACAGACCTGGAATCCTGCGGTATTGATACCTCTAAAGCATCAGTGTACTCAGGCATGTGTACCCAGATCTTCAAGGAGGAAAAAGGGATCATTCTTGGTACCACTTTCTGCTTTGTTCACTTGAGCATTCAAGAGTTTATTGCAGCCCTTTATGCACATCTGTTTCTAGACATAGAGAAGAAAAGTGTGTTAATTAAAGAGTCTACAGAACAGGAAAACACCAATGAAGCCATGATTGATTTGCTCAAGACTGCAGTGGACAAGGCGCTCGAGAGTGAAACTGGACATCTGGACCTTTTCCTTCGCTTCCTCCTCGGTCTGTCACTCCAGACAAATCGTCCACTCTTACGAGGACTGTTGAAACAGCAAGAAGACAATGACCAGAGCAAAAAGGAGATAGTTCAGTACATCAAGGAGAAACTAGATAAAACTCTGTCTCCAGAGAGATCCATCAATCTGTTCTACTGTCTGAATGAGTTGAATGATCAAACTCTGGTGAAAGAGATTCAGACTCAACTTCGAGAAGGAAGTCTCTCATCTGCTGATCTTTCACCTGCCCAGTGGTCTGCTGTGGCCTTTGTGTTGTTGACATCAGACAAGGAGATGGAGGAGTTTGATCTTCAGAAATTCAAGAAGTCAGACGAGTGTCTCTTTAGACTGTTGGAAGTTGTGAAAATCTCCAAAAGAGCTCTGTAAGTCATTTAAAGCAGAGGTCTTTAAAACGACCCCTGAAGGCCCACTGCCCTACAAAAGTTTATATCCAACCTGCTTAATTTAGTGTTTTTCAAGCAACCCCAAATAGCCTGATTAGCTGCTTTAGGTGTATTAATTATACCCTACGAGGCGAGGGCCACTGGTTGGAGCTAAATTCTGAGGGCAACTGGGCCTTCAGGAGGCATAATAATAACCATTATCGCTTAGTAAGATAGTTAAAATGTTTAAACTATGTTTAAGCATCTAGGGAATTCTGTTTTCAACAATTGCTTTTGCAAAGGAGCACAACATCATTAAAATTAAATGTATTAGTCAGAATCATGTGACAGACTTTGAATACTTCGGTCACCCACATCAAATCATCGTTAACTCCAATATTCTTTACCTCTACAGACCCCCAAAGAAAGTTAAATCAAACTAAACTCCTTTTCATTAAAGATGAAATTTATTTTATATAATCATGTTTGTTTGTATGTAGCAGTATGAGATAAGTATTGTCAGTGTAGCCCACCACATGCTTGAGTATATTTATTGTTTGTCTAAATGTAATGTAATTTTTTTTTTAAATTGTATGTAGCAAATGCATTGTTAATATTAAATTTTACTTTGTAATATAATAATTTCTAAGTTATTTATTTTAGGTTACACGATTGTGATTTGTCAGACAAAAGCTGTTCAAATCTGGCTAATGCTCTCGAATCAGATAACAATCTGGAAGAGCTGAATATGAGCAATAATAATCTACAGAGTTCAGGAGTAATTCATCTCTGCTCTGGACTGAAGAGTGAGAAGTGTAAATTGGAGATACTGAGGTAAGTTGTGTGACAACAGACAAAAGGTGTGATATACGTAGATGTCCTTTACAAAGTTTTTGATGAAAACATTCCAGGATTTTTCTCAATATAATGCACTTTACTGGTAACCAAACGGTTCAAGGTCCAAATTAGAGTTTCAGTGCAAACTGCAAACTGTTCAAAGGGGTTTAAACGATTCCAGACGATGAATAAGGGTCTATAAGGATGAATAAGGAATAAGTTATCAAGCGAAACGATCACTCATTTAAAAAATAAATAACAAAGTTTAAGTTTTATAAGCTCAAATGCTCGCATTGCTCTGTTCTGTGATGCACGTTCGTGACTCTCCTGTTCATCAAAATGAACAAATCTTTTTCCGAGTCAATTCGTTCATTTCCTTCGTTGAATGAATCAAATGACTCGAAAAAGATTCATTCATTTTGATGAACGAGTTCGAACAGGAGAGTCACGAACGTTCGCCACAGAACAGAGCAAGGTGATCATTTGAGCTTGTAAAACTTAAACTTAGTTATCTTAAACGATCGTTTCGCTTGATAAGACCCTTATTCATCGTCTTGTGTCGTTTAAACCCCTTTGAACAGTTTGCAGTTTGCACTGAAACTGTCTTTTGGACCTTGAACCGTTTGGTGCCCAGTAAAGTGAAAAAATCCTGGAAAGTTTTCATCAAAGACCTTAATTTCTTTTCGACTGAAGAAAGAATGACATGGATATCTTAGATGACATGGGGGTGAGTAAATTATCAGCAAAAGTTTTTTGAAAAGTGAACTACTGCTTTAATTATTTCCAAAATTACTTTTTGATTTACTAGTCGTAGATCTATCTGCTCTGCTTTTTCTATTTTGCAGAAGCTACATGATTTATAACATAGCAAAAAAAAAAATGTGGCAAAGTTCAAATGAAAAGAGATGAGTAATAAGAATCAGGAAAGATTGTGATATCCAGCTAGCTATATATTATCCAAACATGAGATATGTTACACACCAACTATAAGACTGTAAGAGAGGCCAAACAGGAAGAGCTGTGCAGTAAACCTCACTCCCTTGGCCTCAAGAGGCACTAGCTACTGTCTTGGCTAGCATTCCTCCCATGCTGGCGAAGCTGGTTCGATTTTCTATACATTGACAAAAAATTTTTTTCAGACTTAGCCAGTGTGCGGTAACAGAGGAAAGTTGTTCAGCTCTGGCTTCAGTTCTCAGTTCAGACTCCAGCAGTCTGAAAGATCTTGATCTGAGCAATAATAATCTGAAGGATTCAGGAGTGAAGCTGCTCTCTGATGGACTGAAGGAGAACTGTAAACTGGAGAAGCTCAGGTGAGTTCATGTTTAACATATTGTTAGACTAACTCTACTTTGTCTAACAATGGGAATTTTGTCTAAATTTAGTGATCAATGTTGGATTGAAATCTCTTTTCTTTAGACTCTCTAAATGCAGTATCACAGAAGAAGGTTATAAAGCTCTGGCTTCAGCTCTGAATCCAGACCCTTCAGCCCAGAAAGAGCTTCACCCTTCACACCTGATAGAGCTGGATCTCAGAGGAAATGATCCTGGAAAATCAGGAGTCAAGCATCTCCTGGATGCACAACAGAAACCAGACTGTAAACTAAAAATAAGGTGACATGTGATGAAATAATACAAAATAAGTGACATTCAGGCAAATTAATTGATGAAAGTACTGCTGCACTGAAATATTTCAATAAAAGTAAATGCATTACCCATTCCAAATGCTACATCAAGCTTAGTTGTGAATTGATTTCAATTTGGTTCAATTTCCATTCTGCAGGTTCTTGAATCTTGAAGCAGAGGAAGTCTGTGAGAATCTGACTAATGTTCTGGGTGAAAACCTGTTACTCATGAGAGAGCTAGATCTGAGTAAATGTCAACTGGGACACTCGGGATTGAAGAAACTTGTTCCTGTACTGGAGGATAAACACTGTAAACTCAACACACTGATGTAAGTTGTATCGTTATTAGATGACGAGTTTAAAGGAATAGTTCGCTTAAAAATGAATATTCTGTCATCATTTGCTCAAGTTCATTCAAACCTGTGTGATTTTCTTTTTTTCTGCTAAACACAATAGAACATATTTTGAAGACTGTCGGTACCCAAACAGTTGATGGACCCCATTGACTTCAATAGTATTTTTTTTCCTACTATGGAAGTCATTGGGGTCCATCAACTGTTTGGTTACTGTGATGACAGAATTTTCATTATTCCTTCATGTAATTTTTAAACCTGCATTTTATTTATCAAGTGAAAAGAGTGCAGAACAAACTACCATATGTGACCCATGACGGAAAAATGAGTCTGAATGCGCACAGTCTAATCACGACCAGGCAAAACAAGTAACAAGTATCTATATTTGTATGTTTTCTGAGAGGAGTACTTTTCCTTTGTCCATGAAAACATGCTGTTTTTCTCTGATTGCTTAACATCGCTTTTCCTCAGCACAATTTTGAAATAATTTTAAAGCGCAGCATTCCAATTCCAATCCTCGATGGCGGATTGGAGTCAGAACCAATGAAATGTGATTTTCAAACTCATGCTGACGAATGCCTGTTTCATTCATTTTAATCAAACAATTGTGGTATCATGGGAAAAAGAAGTTGAATATCCTAGATATGCGTTTTGATTTGATTTACCAGGAATTTTAAGCTATGGTTGCTTGGTGAATTTCTTTTGGAACCTTTCCAAAAACTCTCTTTTTCTTAAAATGACTTTATCGACTTCAAGTTATCATTATTTATAATGGGCGTTTAATAATGTAGATTGCTCCAAATCGGCTTTACAGTGATAATAGGAAATTAAAGTAACAGAGTTTGTTTTGGCCTTACAGCAGCTCTAGAATAAAGTTATTTTCCAGCTAAAGTTATCGTCGCAACGTTATTAACTTAGGTGGCGCTAAAACAGCACCATTTTAATAAAAAACTTATCAGTTCTCTCTGTTAAAAAAAGCCATATAATACCTTTAGAATGAACGTATGTGCACGCCATCAGCATTCTCACAGGTTCTTAAAGTTTCCGTAGAGAGTTTAACATATTCTGTTAAAAAATGATGTCATGTCAGCGATGATGATCTATGACAATGATCGTTGTGACGGAAGTGAATCAAATCATGTGAATCACTCTTTCAACAGACCCATGGCCACCAAAGTACTTTACATATTGCCACACATTCACCCATTCATTCACTCATTCATACACCGACAGCGGTGTCAGCCATGCAAGACGTCATCCAGCTCATTGGAAGCAGTAAGGGTGTCTTGTTAGGTTAGATGTCTTGCTCATGGACACCTTGACATTTGGTCAGGTGGAACCAGGGATTGAACAACTTACTTGAGCCACTGATCCTCTGCCGCCCACCACTGTCATTTTCACTATGTGTTATAAAAGTAACAGCAGTATCTAACACACGTTCACTTAGGTAATACTGAAACATAGTTTACTCTTTATACAGGCTGAATGACAACAAAATGACAGAAGAAGATTGTCGTGCTCTAGCTGCAGCTTTAAATTCAAACCCTTCAAATCTGAAAGAGCTGAATCTGAGTCGGAGTTTTCTAGGAGACTCGGGAATGAAGATCATCTCGTCTCTGTTTGAAAATGTAGAGTGCAGAGTTGTAAATCTCAAGTAAGTTATAATAAATGTGTAATCCAAAGGCTCAATATTGCAACAACAAAAAAATAATTTTGTTTTATTCAAATCTGAGTTGTATAACTGTATAGATAGCTTAGATTGGATATTATCACTCTGTTCTCTTTCTTTTCACATTGTTTCTACAGGTTTAATCACATCTATATTACTGGAGAAGGTTGTGCTGCTCTGGCGTCTGCTTTCAATTCAAACCCTTCAAACCTCAGAGAGCTGGATCTGAGTGAGAATAAAATAGGAGACTCTGGAGTAACACACGTCTCCAGTCTACTGGGAAATCCACAGTGTAAACTGCAGATACTCAGGTCTGAAATCAGTTCATATAAACATGAATCAATAAATTTGATGCCTAAAGCTGGCCTGTAAAAAAAGATTCAAATGTTTGGAAACATACTATTTGGCAGGTACTGTAGTCAGCAGTGAATGCATTGGTGCACACGATGCATAGAAACTTTATACAACTATCAATAAACATATTGATCTTTTTAAAATGTTGGACATTATAAATGTCCTAATGGTTTAATGCTGATTATGAACTATTGTTTTTATTAAATGAGTAATTGATTACAGTTATATTATTTAGACTTTCAGACTGCAGTATCACAGAAGAAGGTTATACAGCTCTGGCTTCAGCTCTGAGATCAAACCCTTCACACCTGAAAGAGCTGGATCTCAGAGATAATGATCCTGGAGAATCAGGAGTGAAGCAGCTCGATGATTTACTACAGGATCCAAACTGTCAACTGAAGACACTGAGGTGAGATGTGATAAAATAATATAAAAAGTATATCTAGGAGAATTATTTATAGTCAAGTCACCTTCATTTATATAGCGCTTTTAACAATATAGATTGTTTCAAAGCAGCTTTACAGTGATAATAGGAAATTAAAGTAACAGAGATTGGTTTGGCTTTACAGCATCTCTAGAATAAAGTTATTGTCCAGCTAGTGATTGTTTGATTCACTTCCATCGATATTGCCTTTTCTAGGATATTGTTAATTCTTTAGCATCAAGTTGTGTTTTTTTTTGAAGAGCGGTTTAATAGTGGCCAGCTTAAAGGTTTTTGGTAGGCTACGTATCCTAATGACAAAGATGAATTAATGATATTGAGAAGAGGATCTACTGTATGTCCTCTGGAAGCATCTCTTTCATTAGCTTAGTTGATGTAGGGTCAAACATACATGTTGTTGATTTAGATGGTACAAGTTTAGAAAATTCTTCTACTCCTATAGCAATGAATGAAGACACATTTTCCTCAGGGAGACTGCAATGTATTCCCTGATGCAATTCTGTAGTAGACCGTTGCATTATTAGAATTTTCTCCCCGATATTATCAGTCTAGTAAGTAAAGAGGTTCATGAAGTCATTACTGCTGTGCTGCTTGGAAACGTTTGGGGTTGAAGCTTTATTTTTCATTACCTTAGCAACAGTTTCAAATAAATACCTAGGGTTTTGTTTATTTTTTTCTTATAGGGTTGAAAATAAGCAGATCTAGCAACTTGTAAGGCCTCTCTGTACACAATCGTCCATGAAATGTGAACAAACTGGCAAAAGTGATAGGTCTAACATATTTGTAACACAGTCGGCTTTGCAGCCATCAACATCTATTCCATGTGATAGTATTAGATCTAGAGTATGATCACGGCAATGTGTAGGGTCCTGACACGTGTTGTCTAACTCCAATAGAGTTAAGACGGTCTTTTAAATGCCAATCCCAATGCATCTTTTTCATTATCTACATGTATAACAATTAGGACTTTATCTGCAGCCAGTACAAACTCAGACAGAAAGTCAGCAAATTCTTTGATAAAGTCTGTATGATAAAGAACAGATCTGTGGGCAGACATCACTAAATTAAAATTATTGTTTGCAAACTAACACTAACATTTCCCATGACACTCCTCTGAGACTAATGCTGTCAACATTGCATCTTTTCTTTAGTTTAGTGCAAAATGCTGTTACCCATCACAAAGGGGTTGACTATTTTAATCTGTTCTGGAGCCTCCTTGCACCAGCTGTTGGTCAGCATCGAAAGTTGACCACGGAAAATATTTTTTTCCACACTGGATTATATCTGTAACCATAAAATTCACTAGTTCATTATTTTATTTTATTTTAATTCACTATTTGTAATTGTTTTATTATTATTTCATTTGGGGACAAAGAAACATGTTAAACAATAATAATAATCTATTGAAGAAAATATAGTAGAGAAGAGAAGTGAGTTGTATGCGAGTTAGGCTGCTGTTCATGCTTTTATGCAGATACTTCTGATTAAAGAAGAAACGTGAATTTCACCAGTTGTAACCTGTATTTCATTTATAGTAATTGCCGATAGGGCATCAAGAAATAAGGGCTCACTCTGAGACATTTTAAGTGATAGTAAACACAATACTCAATCATAATCATTCACATTGAACCATATCTATTGTTATGATGGTTTAAGGTTTCCCTGAGAGAGAGAAAGAAATGTAGATTAGGTGAGACTTAGGTCTCAGGGGAAGAGGGGGGAAGTAAAATGTTAATTTCCAGCAAGGTCCTTTGTCTCATAGACCAATGGTCAGGTCTATCTCTTCAACCAGTTTTTCCAGTCTTACACCCTTTAACTTAAAGGTACAAAATGCAGGATTTTTGCAGTAAAATATCCAAAAATCACTAGGCCAATGTTATATATTTTGTTTAGTTGATTACAATATCCCAAATGTTTGCAACTATTTGTAAGTCATGAGAAAATTGCGATTTTAACCAAGGAAACGGGGCGTGTGAGCAGGGGTGAGGAGTCTCCAGTCAATGACGTCATATCCCCGTTATCCCCGGTTTCCGCCAGGTTTCACCTCAGACACAATAGTAACCATGGCGACAGACGTGGACAACTGGGTCGGTTATGCCCGTTATGCGTGCTCAACAGCGTGAGCGTCCCTAGCAGAGTTTTGTTTAAACATTATGGACCATAGCAAGCAGACTTTAAGACAAAAAGAGGACTAAAACAAAGATCAACATCTTTCGAGATGCCGAGAGCGCCACGTCCACGACTAACTTCGACTTGACAGAGACGCGAGTGTTGCATGTACTTTATTAGACAGGTGAGCAAATGTATATAAAACTAATCAGAACGCTATGTAGTTCAACGTGATGAAAAGTTAAAATATGATCTGCATGTTATTCTCTAATATTAATCTAGCTTAGTCTCATTCAGTCAACAAACAACCTAACTAACAACTTTCAACACACTCAAATGCCGTTTAGTGTGATAGTGAAACTGTTACCGTTACCTCAAGTTTAATTCCTCTAATAAACTGACCTGTGTGAGTATTAAGCACTTGTGTGTAGTTCGGGAGAGTGAAATGTCCTTATTCCTCTATATCCGCGGGACTCGCGTTGCGTGTGGCGCTGGTATACGTCTAGCAATCGCTCCTTGCTTCATACTACAGTCATGTTACAAACATCAATGTCTTCACTCATCCATAAAAGATCCATTAGCTTGACGACAAGATCCATAATTCCGCTTAATGCGGAATATACACGTCATCAATATATGCCTTTGTTATTGTAAGAGGTTAGCGACCTGGTGGCGAAACAATCTTTCATATTGTGTCTGTTGGATCAAAACAATTTCAAGAAAAAAACATTTTACACTTTCTTTTTCATCAGAATTCGATATTTAGTAGTGAATTGAATTCAACTTGATTCATCTTCCCCTCTGCAGGTTTTTGGGTGCTGATGCAGATAAAGCCTGTCAGTATGTGAGAGGAATTGTGGGTGAAAACCCGTTACTCCTGAGAGAGCTGAATCTGAGTGGCCGTAAACTTGGAGACACAGGAGTGAATCAGATCTCTGCTCTACTAAAGGATAAACACTGTAAAATCAACACACTGAAGTGAGTATTTTTACATTTTTATATAGACAGTTTCAACAGCAACAACATAAACAAACGTTACGTTCCCCTTAAAGGTCTGTGTAATATACTGTTTTCTGCATTTCACATACTATAGCCTCTATAAATGCTTGCGCGCTCTTTTTTTAATCATGCAATGTGTCAGAATAAAATCTTTCTTTGTTTTATAAAAGATTAATATTGGGAAACTCAAACTATAAGATTAAGTACCGAATTTGAGATTGATAAACGACCTGTGTCTTGATTGACTGATGATCAGATCTGCTCAAAGTAAATTAGACAGAACACACAACTTTGCTTTGTATGTGCAACATATATGTCACACTCTCCAGCCCTTTTTAAAGGGGTCATCTGATGCAAAATTCACTTTTATATGTTGTTTGCATACTGTACAAATGATTAGTTAAACAATCAGAGATGTATAGTAGTATTGTAATTGTAGTTGTTGTGGCTAAAACAAACTGAAGAATCTTTCTGTCCTTGTTTTCTTTCTCTGCAGGCTGAATAATCACAGTATTACAGCAGAAGGTTGTGCTGCTCTGATTTCAGCGTTTAATTCAAACCCTTCAAACCTGATAGAGCTGGATCTGAGTGGAAATAAACTAGAAAACTCTGGAATGGAGAAGATCTGTCCTCTGTTAAAAAATCCACAATGCAGATTAGAGAAACTCAAGTGTGTATTTTTATGCATCCTCCTTTCTGAACGTTAATATGCATTTGTAAATGGCTCTTTTATCATTAATGTTAGAATAACTGAAAATGAAAACTGGCTTACATTTCAGATTTACTCTTTTCATCTCAATTTCACTCTTTTGACAGTTTGACTTTTCACGTCACTTATTTTATAAATCACAATAAATTATGTAACTAACTAAACCATATTTACATAATTTATTAAAATATTGCAAGTTGTTTGTCAGAATGTATTTATAAGCTAATCGCTGTCAAAACAAAGAATAAACAACTTATTTTTGTTTTACAGACTTTCAGACTGCAGTATCACAGAAGAAGGTTATAAAGCTTTGGCTCTGGCTTCAGCTCTGAGATCAAACCCTTCACACCTGATAGAGCTGGATCTCACAGGAAATGATCCTGGACAATCAGGAGTGAAGCATCTCCTTGATGTAGCACAAAAACCCAACTGTAAACTAACACTGAGGTGAGTGTCTTAAAATTATAAAGTGGAGTAGTTTCAATGAACACTATAAATTAAAGACCATCAGGTGATTTAAATAATCTTGAAATATGTATTAACCCTTTAAGCATTGAATGCATTTTAGGGTTAAAATCACAAATTAAAAAAAAACAAACTTTCCATCATACATAATATGTAAATTAATTTGGGAAGGAACATGTGTTTTTTTCCATAAACCATCATCTCATTGGTTTAATCAGTTACCTTACTTTAAGTGCACAAATTGAATCTGTGTATTCTTTTACCATCTCTTCCGTGAGCACTTTCTTTTACCGTAAACACTATCCGTCCCTTTGAAATAGCATAAAATGTAATATTTTATACACATGTGATGCATATTTAAAATAATGTAGAATAACATATCTTAACATTTAGATTTTATTATAGTATTTCTGTGCAAAATATTGTCTATAGAGGGAATGCATTGACACGTGACTTTCCCACGTGACAACCCCCCTCAGCATGACCGAGTGGCAAAAGATCTGCTGCGTGACTGGATTTAATAGGGGAAAACTGCGGAAATGCGACTAAATCGAACAATTTTATCAATTTAAACTAAATGTTGGACTCAATATAGTGTTCCTTACAACTTACTAAAAATCCAGTGATCCATGGATATTGACATGCAGCCAGGAATCGTGTTGCCTGACATTTATGTTTGCCTGATTTCGACACCGGGGAAATAAAAGCAAGACCTAAACATAAAGCAAATTTGCCTGTGAACGCTTTATATAATTATATAGGTAGGTCTAAATCCGGGTGATCACTTATATCAGTGTTATCGTATCGTCCAGCCCTAAAACTTTATACATTTTTTGGTCAGTGTTTATTAAAAAAAACATCCAATAATGCAGAAAATGCAATGATAAATATTTAATTGATGAGCTGTTATACTATAATATATATGGGTATGGTTTTCCAGCTAAATTCAGCATATTGACACAAAATGATAACTGCAAATCCACCTTTGGCTGACTGGAGTCCAGTTGTTTCTGTGAATTGCAGCGATCCATTTGCTCCTCTTTCTATAGCAGTCTGTAAAAATATACCTCCGATGTTTTGTCAAATCTAGTTGTAGGCCTACAGTCAATCGCAAAGCTCTTTCCCACTTTATTTGTGTGTGTTGTGTTTGTTTTTCGTGACATTCACGCTGAACACATACAGCCGCTCAGTCTTTTTGCCACTCACTGTGAGGAACTGCAGGCACTCCGGCCGACGGTGACGTCATGCGTATTCCCTCTATATATACATATATACATATACACACACATCTAACAACAATTATTCAATTAATAATTTAGTAATGTCTGTTTACTTTAAAAAAACAAACACAAAAAAAATGCGTCTAGTTTTTTTTTTTGTTTTTTTTTGTAAATGTTAGTTTCTGGTTATATAAATAAAATATAAAAAGAATGTTGCTAGAATTTAAAAATGTTATCCAAAAGAAACGAAATGAGAATCTTGCACTAACCACTCGCTATGTAAATTAACTGGGCTCATTAAAGAGGAAGGGGGCTGCAAAAGGCATTACATTTTAAGATTATGTGAGATAAAATGATAGTCTACTTTGTTTAGGCTTTTGAAAAGTCCTGCCGCAGAGGAAGCGTGTCAGTATCTCACTGGAGTTCTGGGTAAAAGTCCATTAATACTGACAGAACTGGATCTGAGTGGAGATAAACTAGGAGATCTAGATGGAGAGAAGCTCTCTGCTCTTTTGATGGACTCTCATAGCAAAGTGGAGAAAATCAAGTGAGTGAACATGATTATATACATTATAATTGCGTTTTGTTTATCTATTATAAAAGACTGTCAGTCACATGATGTGATAGCAGATATTAAGACCTGGTGATCTAATGTGTGTTGAAAATGTGCTGAATAATAAATAATGCTTATTTTGTGTTTAGGCTAATTAACTGTGAGCTGACAGAGAAAAACTTTTCAGTTCTTGTTACTGTTCTCTCCTCCAAAACCATCCTGAAAGAGATGAACCTGAACAACAGCCGTCTGCTGGACTCAGGAGTCAAAGAGATCTGTGAGGGACTGAAGAAATCAACGCTGAAGATACTGAAGTGAGTACATTTCACCATCAGCTACACAACACCACAGCAATCACATCAATATTACTATTTGGTTGTGAAAATGCTTTATGTGCAAATGTTTTGCACAAATGCTTTATTATAATTATTATAATTATTTTTCTAGACTCAGTAATTGTTATCTAACAGAGGAAAGCTGTTCAGCTCTGGCTTCAGTTCTCAGTTCAAACTCCAGTAGTTTGGAGGATCTTGACCTGAGCAATAATAATCTGCAGGATTCAAGAGCAAAGCTGCTCTCTGATGGACTGAAGGAGAACTGTAAACTAAAGAAACTCAGGTGAGTTGATAATATAACATATTAAATGTCTCTAGGTCTTTTGTCTCCATATTCAGTTATCAATTTTTTTTTAAATATCTCTTCTGTAGACTTTCAGACTGCAGTATCACAGAAGAAGGCTATATAGCTCTGGCTTCAGCTCTGAGATCAAACCCTTCACACCTGATAGAGCTGGATCTCACAGGAAATGATCCTGGAGAATCAGGAGTCAAGCAGCTCTATGATTTATTGCAGGATCCAAACTGTCAACTAAAACTAAGGTGAAATTAGATAAATTATAAAAAAATGCATTGCATCAAAGTATATTCCAGATAAACTCAAGTTAAGCAGGATTGAGAGTGAGACTGGTCAAAATTAGGTTGCTGCTGGATGAGGTGTTAGTGAGACCAGTAGGGGGCACTCACCCTGTGCTCTGTGTGGGTCCCAATGCCCCAGTTTAGTGATGGGGACACCATACTGTAACAAGCACCATCTTTCGAATGAGACATTAAAACGAGGTCCTGACTCTCTGTGGTCATTACAAATCCCAGGGTGTCTTTCGAAAAAAAAAAAGAGTAGGGGTGTAACCCCGGCATCCTGGCCACATTTGCCTATTTTCCTCTATGATCATGGCCTCCTGATCATCTCCATATATAATGATTGGCTTCATCACCCTGTCTCTCCTCCACCAGTAAGCTGGTGTGTGATGGTGTTCTGACACAATATGGCTGCCGTCGCATCATCCAGGTGATGCTTCACATTGGTGGTGGTTGTTGAGATTCCCCACTTCAGTGTAAAGCAATTTAAGTGCTAAATGCAAACATATAAATGTAACAAATTATTAAACTTTGATAACTAAACTGAATCCTTCTTGATCTTCTCTTCTGCAGGTTTTTGAGTCCTGATGCAGATAAAGCCTGTCAGTTTGTGGGTGAAAACCCGTTACTCCTGAGAGAGCTGAATCTGAGTAAATGTAAACTAGACTCAAGTCAAGTTAGGCAGCTTGCTGCTCTACTGCAGGATAAACACTGTAAACTGAAAATAATTCGGTGAGTATTTTACATGGTTTTCATATTTGCATTCTGCATTGAAAAGATAGAGATCCAAGAATAAATAAAAATAAAATGTCATGTACTCAATGTTGACTTGTTCTAAACCTTTATGAGGTTCTTTCTTCTGTTGAACATAAAGGAATGGTCCCCACTGTCTTTCATTATATAGAAAAAATAAGTCAATGGGGACCAGAAATTGTTTGGTTACCCACATTCTTCAAAATATTTTCTTTTGTTTTTAGCACAAGGAATTAATACAGATTTTAAACAACTTGAGCGAGTAATTGATGAACTATCCCTAGTTGTTTGAACTATCGCTTTAAACGATCTTAAAATGATAACTCGTGTCACTAGTGTAGCAGAGTCGATGTACAATTGCACACTTCCATGAGTAAAAGTTTTTATCTAACCAAAAAGATTATCTAATTAAAAAACAATCATAAAAGAATTCACTGAGCTCATATTGGGCTAAAACTAAACTCTTAAATTGTTAACAATTTAACGCTAAATTGTTTTTGGGCTAAAACAATTCTTTAATTTTTCAATTCCACTGCTTGCTGCGTCCTGTGAGAAAGATCCTTTAAACTAAAACCTCAACACAAATCAAACCCAGGTCCCCCAAATAACTAATTGCCACCCACTTTGTGTGTTCTGGCATGATTTTATGGGCTGAAACAGTTTAGCCAGTTAAGAACATTTAAGGTTTACAATCATTTTTGTCTTTTGTTTTCTTTCTCTGCAGGCTGAATAATAACAGTATTACAGCAGAAGGTTGTGCTGTTCTGACTTCAGCGTTTAATTCAAACCCTTCAAACCTGATAGAGCTGGATCTGAGTGGAAATAAACTAGGAAACACCGGAATTAGCAATATCTGTTGTCTGTTGGAAAATTCACAATGCAGATTAGAGAAACTGAAGTGTGTATTTTCATTTATCTGTTTCTTTTATATTAATATACATTTGTAAATAAATGTCCATTTGATTAACGTAAAAGGCTACTTGCATATGCTATATTTTAATATTGTAAGAAATATTTATAAATTCAAATTAAGGTTGTATGTATATCTCTGGGGTGAAACTTTGTGTAAATGGGCACATTTTTCCACATTTATAGAATTTTTTTTCCCTAAATAGGTTTTAGTTGTTTTATATCCTAGAACATGCAATATCTAATACAAGCCTCTTTTCATACAGACTTTCAGGCTGCAGTATCACAGAAAAAAGTTATGAGATTTTGACTTCCTCTCTGAAATCAAACTCACACCTGAAAGAGGTGGACCTGAGAGGAAATCATCCTGGACGATCAGGAGTAAAGATGATTAAAGATATGGTGTGGAGTGGATTGTCTAAAATAAAGTTCAGGTGATAAAAGCCTTAAAATATTTGGTAATAAGCCTCAGTCATGGAGTCAGGAGTGTTAAGATTTAAGAGTGCTAAAAAGACAAATAAGATGGTATAGCATTGTAAAGAGGAATTTGCTGGATTGCAATTCAAAGTTTTTTTAAGTTTAACTATAACTAAGTTTTAGAACTATTTAAAAACATAAATTACTACTTAAGTTTGACACTGCTTTTTTATTTCCCATTTATTATTTATAAATATTCACTCAAGGGTATAAACTTGTGAGAATTATCATAACTTTAGACTTTGACCAGATCCTGCACACTTTACTACATTTTAATACATAAATAGGATGGATGATGTAAATTATAAGAACATTTTCTAATCTAGAATTTTTTTTACATTCTGTAGCTTTTTGAAAAACGCTGCTGCAGAGGACGCGTGTCAGTATCTAACTGAAGTTCTACAAACAGATCCCTTACAGCTGACAGAACTGGATCTGAGTGTAATTGAACTAGGAGATCAACATTGGGTGAAACTCTCTGAATTTCTGGTGGACCCTTATTGCCAAGTGGATAAAATAAAGTGAGTAAATGATTTTTTTACATTATAACTTTTCTGTGTGAAGATTTACTGTAGTTATGTGAAGTTTTGCAGGTGAAACAATGAAGCAACCAACCTACATTAACTGCTTTTCAAACAGCCTTTTTTATGGATCATTTTATAATCTTGGAGTAATGTTATACAAAACTGACATTCCTCTAGAGTCAGTGTTTCATCTATTGTGGTTCTTTAGTGTAGGTTTCCACTGAATGAAGCCTTAGGTGATGCTTTATCCACTCCCTTTGTCCACATCCACTTCAATAAATCCACAGGACAAGTCGTGAAAAATATATCCGTTTGTAATATATCCAAATATAATATAAAATACACTCTAAATTATCCACACACATTTTAGATAATTACACATTTAACTCATTGCATTACTGTAAATATTAACTGCATCAAACTGTAAATACTGTAAATATTCACTTCAATTTTCTCCACGTAAAATGAATCATGGAAATTACTGTTCAACGTATTAAAATATTTATCAATTAACTGCATTTAGGCTCCTACATTTAGTGCTACTTTGCTTCTATATTCTAAGTTCTATATTAAGCCGATTCCCGTTGAAATTATTAGATTGTGTCACAAATTTTTGCTGAGCAACAGTAAATGCCTTGCCTTGCATGATCATGCCTTTAATAATTTTATTTCTATATCTTTTTCTCAATGCACATTGTTTCAAACCAGCTTTACAGAAAATCTGTCCGTGTTTAAAAGTGGGGTATTGAAGAGCAAAAAGCCTTCATATAGGAATCATACCCAGCTGGGGAAGCCCATCCTCCTCTGGCAACAATCCTTATGACACAAATAACTAGCTCTAAGTTTATGCAAGTCATGTGTGTTCATTAAACAGGCAACATGAGGCTTTAGGAGTTAATGGAGATGGAGAATTGAAGTCCTCGTTGACAATGACAATTTATTTGTATAGCACAATTTAAAACAACAGCTGTTGACCAATGTGCTTTCCAAAATTTAATTAAGTTAATTTAAAGAATAAAAAAAATCACATAAGAACTTGAAAGCACATAAAATCACAACATTTAAAACACAGTAAGAAAAACACAGTATATGAAAAATCATATAAGATCTCATCATTTACAACAAAAGATAGTATTAATCGAAAGCCTTCAAGTATAAAAAAGATTTAAAAATCAGAATAGATGGAGCTTGTCTTAAGCTAGGTAAAGTATTCCAAAGCCTTGGGGCAGTGATGTAGAACGCTCAATCTCCCCTACACTTGAACCTCGATTTTGGGATACACAATAGAGCCTGATTTTGGGGTACACAATAGAGCCTGACTTATTCAGTTAAATAAGTTGGTGCTAAGTCATTTAGAGATTTATAAACTAATAATATTACTTTAAATTCTACTCTGAAACGCACGGGTAACCAATGTAGTGAGCGCAGAATAGGGGTAATATATGCGTGATAGAAGATTGCTGACTAGTCCCCAAATACAGTGAATTGCAATAGTCCATCCTAGATTAAATAAAGACATGAATTAATTTAGATCACAATCTAGATTTATGTTTTATTGATCTGTGTATAGTATTATCTCCATATCTACAATGCGTTCTTTAATTCTCTGTCTTATTCTGCCCTCTAGTGGCACATCGAAATGAATACAAACCTTAAGAAATGTACTAAAAGACCAAACACAGCAAATAATCATACGAATAAAGTATATGTAGACAAAATCAGATAAGCTCAGAATATCAACGCGTGTAATTCCTCGTTAAGCAAATTGCCGAATATACTCAAACAAGATCGACTCAGACGTCAATAAATGGAGGCGCAAATGCAAAATAAAACAAAAATGTCTTTCATGCACAAACGTCTCTATTTGTACAAATTGCTGCACATTCGTTGAATTCTGAATTTTGCACATGCATTGGAAAGCAATTTGTTTGTGGATAGCCTAAAATATATCTGCAACATTTATCAATTTCAAGGACAATTGAGCGTACATTTCTTAATCCATATGACAGCCTACTAAAATCATAATGAAGTATAGCCTACTACAAAAAAATCAGTCCAGAATATTAACGCAAAGCGTTCATTATTATCATCAAATATTTAATAATAATAATAATAATAATAGCCTACATATAATAATTAATAAAAATAATTGTGATTATTATTAATAATAATAATATAAATTTAGCTATTTTTGTTGTTGTATAGCAAAAAACAGATAAGTCTAGAATTTGAACGCCAAAAGCGTTTCATTTTACGTTAAGCATTTTTCTCCCATATAAAGTCATTATAAAAACGCTATAGCTTAACCATATAGAATGCGCCCCTTGTTATGTCGAAATAACGAGATATTTATGTCGAAATAACGACTTATTATGTCGTTTTAACGAGATATTATGTTGTTTTAACGAGATACTATGTCGTTATAACGAGATATTATGTCGTTTTATTAAGTCGTTTTAACGAGATATTATGTTGTTTTAACGACTTATTAAGTCGTTTTAACGAGATATTATGTCGTTTTAACGACTTATTAAGTCGTTTGAACGACTTAATTATGTCGTTATAACGAGATACGTTTTCTTTTCTTTTTTTCTCACCTTGCGGTTCAGGGCTTCCGTACACAGACATCTCACCCAAATCCACATTTATAGATTTTGATGATGACTCAGATGGGCTAAAAACAATAATTTCTCATTGTCTGGACAGTACAGGCAGCAGGTTTTAGTTGACAGAGTACAAGAGATTCTGAGATAGAAAAGGAAAGCAACATGAACAATATTACCATATATTTTAAGGCAGAATTTAATATGGACATCTGTTATGGTTCCATCACACATAATAATTAGATGAATAAATCAAATTGTAAGAAAAGAGAAGTAAATAGTTGACTATTGAGACTTCTCTAAGAGGTGTGTCTGATTCCCTGTACATTGCCAGGTAGACTTTTCCTCAGTTTAAGTGCCAAATAGCAAAATGTTTTTTTTTTTTTGTGGTCTTCTTTTCTCGTGATATTTTCGATACTGCCTGTAGTTCAGATTTTGTGACCCTGTGGTGTTTATAAGTAGCTGTGTTTTGTAATCAATGTGGAACTTATTTAAGAGAAGGATATTATTGGTCATCCAACCTTTAGTATATTTAATGCATGCAGTTGATTTGGATAATTTTCAAATAATATTTCCATAGTTAAGCATGTATAGGGAAAAGGATGTAACACAGATCATAGCAGCACTGCATACTTGGGTTAGAGCTCACTTATTCTCATTGAAATAGTTTTAACTGTTGGAAAAATAATCTTAATGTCTGTCAATGAATGCTAACATCATTCATTTTATATTTAATAAAATAATATATCACTGTGTGATCACCAAAGAGATGCATAACGGGGAGAAATGTGTCTGTGGGCCTGTGTTTGATGTCATGTTGACGTATGTCAAAAAATTCATAGTTTTTTGAGGCGAGGCGGACTTGTCGGATTCTGCCGTCGGAAACTGTTGCTCTCCATCCACTGCGCTGATCAAAAGCACGATAGTAAATGACTTGCTGATGACACAGCTTAATTCTCATTGGTTTAAACAGCCATGATGCATTGTTCTCTTTTAAAAAAATTGCCATCTAGCATATTTGATTATTCTTTAATTTTATTAAATAAAGTTACACTGCTGCTACGGATAAAAGCACTTTGTTCACTCTGTCAGCCACATGTGTGAAATGAAAACCTGTTGAACTGATGTGTCTTGAGTTTTTCCTGGAATCAAGAAAAATAAACCAGGTCTTCCTCTTTAGACTGAATAATTATGAGCTGACAAAGAAAAGCTGTTCCGTTCTATCTACTGTTCTGTCCAAAAATACCATCCTGGAAGAGATGGACCTGAACAACAGCTGTCTGCTGGACTCAGGAGTCAAAGAGATCTGTAAGGGACTGAATAATTCAACTCTGAAGATACTGAAGTGAGTACATTTCACCATCAGCTACACAATCTAGATTTATAGTATTATTTAGCAGTGACTTGGGTACAGAGCATTCAAAGGTACTTCAGAGATGAATCATTTTTGGTTACCTGTTTCATTAAGAGATTTTAATATTGGTGGTTGTTTTTCTAATCAACTGTAAAGATTTATCTAAAATCATACATAGGTATTATTCAATTGTCTTATGATGAAAATAGCTGGCTTTCTGATGAGAGTTTAACATTTTTCAAATTTGCAGTAATATAATATATACTTATATATTATTATAGTAATATATATATATATATATATATATATATATATATATATATATATATTTCTTAAACAGATTGTGATGAGTAGATTGTTACATGTATAATTACTGTTGTTTGCAAATTCAAAGATTTGCTCATAAAACTTCTACAGTTTGTAGTTTAAATAGGGAGCTTTTAGAAAGTTGCCACATGTTGCATTATTCCCCCAGTGATCAAGCCAGAAGTCACAATAGTGAGCCACTTCTCCTCTGCCTGAACTATTAAAACAATGTCAATTTAACACATGATAACAAACAAGTGTCTTTGAGGCTTGTGGTTGGCATATATTGTTTGAGATTTGACATCACAGTTCATTGAGTCTTTGACCGCACAACGGTGATAGTACTAACTAAATAACCAACAATAAAGTGCATAATCATACTTTGTACATTTAGGATGTTTAAAACACAATCACAGGCTCCTATGACCATTGATTAATTGTAACTCATCAACTTAGTCTTTAATGACATAATGTGGTTTACCTGTAAATCTGATTTGATTTAAATCTGTTATTTTTTTGGTGTGTGTGTAGACTTTCAAACTGTAGAATTACTGAAGAAGGCTATAAAGCTCTGGCTTCAGCTCTGAGATCAAACCCTTCACATCTGATAGAGCTGGATCTCACAGGAAATGATCCTGGACAATCAGGAGTCAAGCAGCTTGATGATTTACTACAGGATCCAAAGTGTCAACTGAAGACACTGAAGTGAGTGTTTTTTAAATAATAAAGTCTAGTAGTTTTAAAATAGTTAAAAATTCAAAACAGTTTAGAAACAAACCATCAAAAAAATTGTTTATGGTGTCTTGGAAATTACTGAATGCTATTTCACAAGAGTATGTCATTGACATTACTGGATATTTATTGAACGTCTGTCTCCAGGTTTTTGGGTCCTGCTGCAGATGAAGCCTGTCATTATGTGAGAAGAATTGTGCGTAAAAACCCGTTACTCCAGAGAGAGCTGAATCTGAGTGAAAATAAACTAGGAGACTCAAAGTTGAAGAATCTTGTTCCTTTGCTGCAAGATAAACACTGCAAACTAAACACACTGATGTGAGTATTGTGTTCTTTATTATTATTTTATATCTAAAGTATTTTACAGAAATCAGGTGACCATAACAAATTAATCCTCAGTAATCACTGAATATTGGCATCAAGTACTTTGTGTTTGTGTCTCCTCTTCATCATTTTAGGCTGTGTAATTGTGATCTAACAGAGGAAAGCTGTTCAACTCTCGCTACAGTCCTGAGATCAAACTCCAGTCTGAAAGAGCTTGATATGAGCAACAATAATCTGCAGGATTCAGGAGTGAAGAAACTCCAGATCGCATTAGAGAATATAAACTGCACACTGCAGAAACTCGGGTGATTAAATTAACTACTGTTTATTTTTAGTAATGAAATTATCTTCTAGTCAAAGTTTAAATATTTTATTATTAGTAAACTAAAGAAAAGATATGGACTTTGAATGTCTTGCATTTAAAGACTGATGTTATACATTGATGATCATACTATCCGCACTAATAGTGATATTAAAACACATTTTAGGCTTAATATTAAGAAATGTGAATTGTGCAATAAAGAAGTACTCCGAATAAAGTTTAATTATAATATTTATATCAGTAAGTCTCAAGCAATATGTCAGAAAATATATTAATGGATTTGTAGTACACTGAGGGAGTCCTCTTTAAAAGAACCAATTTCAGACTCCTTTAAGTAGACCAAGAGGTGAGCCAAGTGAAAAACGATCCAGTTGTCTTTGCGTTCACACTGTGCCTGTCCCTGAAAGAGGACTTTGATCTTTTTTTGCTCCACTGAAGTAGGAATGTGGTCTTTGGATCTAGTCCAGTTCAGTGTTTTGAGGGCTGACCCTAGATCCTTCAATATTGTATCCCATTCACTTACATTGTATGTGCCTCACTAACAAAGATATTTGTTGGTAAAGATTATTATTATTAATCATAATAATAATAATAATTATTATTATTATTATGTGTTATTTATTCTTAGTATGAAATAAATGTATTTTAAAATGCATTTTTGGTATTGATTTTTTTTTTACATCATTTGATGTTCTTACGATAACTTTTTTAAGTATTTAGTAATTCAATTATCTTTTCTGTAGACTTTCAAACTGCAAAATCACTGAAGGCGGCTATAAGGCTCTGGCTTCAGCTCTGAGATCAAAATCTTCACACCTGATAGAGCTGGATCTCACAGGAAATGATCCTGGACAATCAGGAGTCAAGCAGCTCCTGGATTTACAACAGGATCAATACAATTCACTGAAAACATTGAGGTGAGGAGTGATGAAATGGCACATATTATATGCAAGCATATAGATATTTCTACATACTGTATGTTTAAATGATTTCAAAAGGTTTTAATAAATATGTTTTATAGTTTACATTATACCATAAATGTGTCATAACTGAATTGATTCTGCAGGTTTTTGGATACGGCTGCAGATGAAGCCTATCAGTATGTGAATAGAGTTATGGGTAAAAACCTGTTACTCCAGAGAGAGCTGAATCTGAGTGAAAATAAACTAGGAGACACACGAGTTAATCAGATCGCTGCTCTACTCCGGGATAAACACTGTCAACTCAACACACTGATGTGAGTATTTTACATGGTTTAAAATATGTATTTAGATGACCATACTAAGTCATAGATTTTCTCTGAGGGAGTCTTATTCCCTTTCACCGAGCCACAATAAAATGTATTAAAATGAATCAAGCTTTTACCCAAAGCTAAACTAGTGTGGAAACTAGTGACGTCAAGCTACACAAATTATTTCACTTGTACTGAAATGTATTTATATTTATGATCGCAATGAAATTGATTAGTTATCAAGTAGGTTTTACATTGTAAAAAAGTATTTTAAAAATCTGATGTGTGTATTACTATTATAGGAAGTAATATTAAAAGGATAATAACATTAATGAAGTACGACACAGATTTGTCTCTGGTACGACACATTCATTTGCATTTAATTAATGTAAACACAGATATTGGAGACCAGTCCTGTCTAAAGTGAATGTAAATAGGCGGCCAAAAAAACAGATATGGTCAAATGATTGGATCTGTGCATTAAGACTCACAGTGTAAATACAGCCTTTTCTGTCTTCAGTCTGTCTGGATGCAGTATTACAGAGAAACAGTGTCTCAGTCTGACTTCAGCTCTGAAATCAAACCCATCACACCTGAGAGAGCTGGACCTCAGTGGAAATGAAATAAAAAACACAGGAGTGAAGCACTTATGTGACATACTGAAGGATTCACACTGTAAACTGGAGAGATTAAGGTGAGGAACATTAATAGGCTTAAAGTCTATGCTAAAAATGATTAAACAGATCATTTATATAGTTTAAACCAAAGCCTGGGGAAAATAGTTTTGATATCTGAATGTCACATTTCTCTCAATATAGGTTAAGAGGCTGTGAAATGACAGATGAAGGTTGTTCTGATGTGACTTCAGCTCTGAATTCAAACCCATCACACCTGAGAGAGCTGGACCTGAGCGGGAATAAACTAGGAGACTCTGGAGTGAAAAAACTCAGTGATCTACTGATGAAAAAAACATGCAAACTGGAAAAACTAGAGTAAGTTACAATATACTTTACACAGATAGGCTACAGTGTTATTCAGTGTTTAGTTTAAACAAAACTTGCACTTGTGGATTAATAAAGTAATTTTCCCTTGTAATCTTTTGATGAAACTTCATCTTTCTGAGATATGCTCACTTGACGTAAATGACTCGTACATAAATCCATGCACTTCACTTCCATTAAGCCCAATTGCATTCAGAGACGCCTCCATTACAGTATACATTGCTTATTTTCAATTTAATTTTTCAATTTATTCCATCCAATCAACAAAGGACTAAAATAATCAAGTAATCTGTCCTAAGTATGGTGGAAGCCACAAGATGGCAGGCATTTATTTTTTATTTTTTCACAGTTTAACTCTGAATTCTGAAATATGCCATAATTCAGTGATAGAATTGTTTAAGTTATGGTTGTTTAATGCTAACTTAGCAAATTAAATAGAAAAATAGTGTTTTAAAATGTAATGTAAATATATTTAATTTTTCAAATTAATGTATTAAAATTATTTATTTATTATTTGTTCTTAATCTCTTAATCTAACGCACATCTGATGAAACATATACTTCTTTTGTCTGTTTGTTTAGTGTGGGTTTAGAAATGCATTTTACTGAATCTGGCTCATTGTTCTCTCTTTCTGTCTTCAGTCTGTCTGGATGCAGTATTACAGAGGAACAGTGTCTCATCCTGACTTCAGCTCTGAAATCAAACCCATCACACCTGAGAGAGCTGGACCTGAGTGGAAATAAACTAGAAAACACAGGATTGAATCACTTATGTGACGTACTGAAGGATTCACACTGTAAACTGGAGAGATTGAGGTGGGTAATATTCACCTACAACACTTTAAACTAAGACACTTGTATACTGTAACTTGTAACTGTAGTATACACTTAATATTAGTATGCACTGAACGGAAAATTCTGCGTCAAAACTGAAATAAAAAATTCAGGATGCACTTAGCCCAAAAATGAAACGGACAAATACATTTGAAATGTATAATCAATTAATTAATCAAACTTTATTCATAACCAACACTCAAATATATAAAATTGAGTTGTACAAATGTTTAAATTGCACCTAAGGCGAGTTTTAAATCAACTTTTTAATTACAGATTAGTTTACTCCAGTTTGTTAGTGAAATATTAACATTTAAACAACAATTAATGGTAATAACTTGTTTTCATGTCTGATTTATTCAAACATAACCTGTTTTTATGATGTTTTCATTATATAGTTTAAGTAAAAATATACTAATATGTAAAACAGTGCATATATTTAGCAAAATGCTCTTCTCTGGAGTTCTCTAAGTTTATGAGTTTATGGACATTGAACAGCTTTCTTAAGGTAAAAGTAACATTAAGTGTTTAGTCTAGCCACGCTGTTTGTGACGTCTTTCCTTGGGTTGAAACACTGAAGGATTACATGAGACAGGAGTAATTTTAATAAAGTTGTAATGTATCTTTCAACATATCTGTTGGTGTTCACCCATGTTTATTTTGTGCTGTAACTAATAGTAAAGAGGAGATGACCGGTTATGTGCACTTGATCTCCGCTTCTTGTCCATGTTGTGTGCATGAAATATACGCTGAACACAAAGCGTGGCATTGGAGAAGTGCTAATTAAACGTCTGTTTCAGTCACTCATTTAGACCCTCAATAACCATTTCAGTGCATCCCTACTGTATATCTCATGAAACGTTCACATTTCTCACCTTAGATGTTTGTGATCTGGTCAAAGTAAGATGATCTCTCTTTTTCTGTCTGTTTGTCTTTGTCTAGCCTAAAGGACTGTGGCATTACAGATGTTTCAGCTTTAACTCAGTCTTTGTCTAAAACACAAGCACTGCAGTTTTTAAAAGAGCTTGATCTGACGAACAATAAGATAGACAAGTCAGGGAAGCAGCTCAATGATGTGATACAAGGCTCAAACTGTAAACTGAGGTGAGTACATGTCTCTTTGTGGTATAAAATAGAGCTTTTCTCCTCTGAATCTGATACTGTACGACCCCAGCTTTGTGAAACAATATCTGCTTTACTTATTGCTTTAGTAAAAAATGATTACAATTTGATATAAAATCAGTACAAATGGGGTCGACTCCAGTATAGGAATCGATTATTGTTAGGCTATCTGAATTCACTCACTTGTTAACCGATTCTCTATAGTGGATGGCAGTTGAGTGCTCTGTATAAGCATGCAAGGGGTGAATGAAATGAAACGAGGAATTCAGACACTTGTATTTCATAGAAACTTTTTCACATTCATTTTTCCTACATGTAGCTTATACTTTAGACATAGAAAAGCCAATAGTACTTGAGTTTATACATACCTCCATGTAAGCTTTAGTTTAATTGATGTTATATGAATGCAATAAATATAGATTTGGTTTCCCATGGTTAATCTTGTTCATAATAATTAAAATAACCATGAATCATAAGAAAATCTCATCAAGAATAAACACATAAGTGTACATGGTTGTAAGTATTTGTGTATGTATTGAATTCATTTTCAGGATCTTTAACTCTCCTGGCCAACCTTTTAACACGATGATCATGTGTGTTTAGCGCCATCACCCGACTATTATAAGAAGATTCATTAAATTAGAATACCTTCTTTCTTGTTTATTTAGTTCTGACATAATATTCAATCCCGGCTGTTTTTCGTGATTATTCCATCTGTAAAATTAGGTTTCACAACAGCTGGCAATGTTCATAGCGCATCAATTAAGTAATTTAATCAAAAGTGTGCGGCTGAACA